CACACACACACACACACACACACACACAATATTAAGGGGTTAGGTACCAGAATTCAAAAGGCCTCAATCCTGTGCATGCATGTGGAAAAGCGTCCTTTCTGACCTCTCGCCTGGGTCCACTCGTGCCCTCAGGACTCGTCCATAGAAGACTTCAGCGATAGCGACAGCGAGAGCAACTTCCCCCTGATGATCCCTCAGGACTACCTGGGCCTCGCCTTCTTCTCCATGCTCTGCTGCTTCTGGCCCCTGGGCATCGCCGCCTTCTACCTCTCGCAGAAGGTAAACACACACACACACATAGACAGTTGTGCCAAATTGACAAGAAGTAACCTGGCATTTAAATTGGCAGCAACGGACTAACAAAAGCTTCACTCTTAAAGGCACCACAAGTGTAGGGATTACATAGATTTGCGGGATTAAGTTAACCACAAAGAATCAAAACACACACAGACTGTGAGCACAATTTGAAGATGTAAAACAAATGAAAGGAAAAATGGGATTAAATGTTGAAATCAGGGATTTTTCAGGTCCAGTTTGTTTCAGTGTCTCGAGAAGTGTTTCTCAAAATGTGGTCCCCAGACCAAGCGCCAAGAGTGTCGAGTGGAGGCAGACAAGGAACATGAGGACAGTCAGAGTCAATGGAAAAACATGTGGCAAAAAGAGTCGGAGCAGTCTTGGGTTCAGCATATATTCGGTGTTCGATAAAGAAGTTAAGAGTTTAAACTGCGAAGCAAAGAAAAGATCTTCTGTTACATCTCTGGCAATTTTGCAGTATCTCGGTTTGAAAGAGACGATACTAGCTCTGGAGCCGAGAAACGAGCGCCTTGACTTTGACACACGCACGCACGCACGCGTGTACACACACGCACATGCCCGCGCACGCACGCACGCACGCACACACACACACACACAGCCCGCCTGCCTACCTTAAGCTTTTTGGATCCTGGATGAAAGAAATTTTCCAAAGACTTCATCATACTAGCCTCACCGTTACGCTTTATCCCCAGAAAAAAAAAGTATTTGTTCATAAAAGATTCTTACTACTGGCATGCTTTTATCCGATATATTTAGTCCGTTTTAAATCTGCTCTCTGCTGCTGGAACACTTGAATTTCCCCTTTGATGTCATTAAGAATTATGTTTTTTTTTTTAGGATTTTTTTCATCCTACTTAACTATAGCTATCATCCTAATTAACTTTAACAACCATGTGTACGACAAAATGCCAATGGAATTCGATTCTTGTTTAATCATAATTTGTATTTATCTAAGATCAAATCTTAATAGTACAACAATAATAGTAAGATACTAAAGTCACTGTTTATTGAGGGAAGAAAGTCAAGTTTAAACAAGTGAATTTCAAAAATACACCTATATTACTGTAATAATTAATACTCCTGTAATTCTGGAAAGATGCCTGGAAAAATATGGGGGGGGAAAAGACTTTATCCCTGTAACCATATGCATTTTAGACAAGAAAAATAACCCACTCATGTAAAACGATCAGATTGCAAATTATTTTACCAAGCGACAGCTAGCGGGCTCCATTTTGAGAACCATTGCCCAAAAGAAACTGATCACTGACTCAAAGTCTTCTGTCCTCTTTCAGACCAACAAAGCTTCAGCCGAGGGGGACCTCCAGGGCGCCAACGCGGCGTCCCGCCAGGCCTTGTGGCTTTCCGTGCTCTCCATCGTGTTTGGGATCGTCACCTACATCTGCGCCATCGCCGCCCTCATTTCCTACTTGTCTGCCAAGCCACCGTAAAAAAATAAAATAACAATTGATTTAAAAAAATTTTAAAAAGCTGTGAATGCTCTCCTGGAGCTAAGAAAACAAACAAACAAACAAACAAAAAAAAAAAGATCTTGTGCACATGCTGTCGACAGGTACTTGAAAAATAATCACATTTTAGCGCATCAGCTCCTCTACCTTCAATCATAGTCAAATGGCCTTTCGCTAAGACCCACCCGCCACGGGTCTGGTACACGCATGAATTGTTTGACATTTTAAGGGATATTTTATCTGTTACAGACCCAAATATGAAGATTTAAAAAAAAAAAAAAAAAAAAAAATCAGGCATACAACAGTTTTGACTGTGCGACGTAAGCTCCGGTAATATCAACACAGGACACCACAGACGTTAACCTTTGTGTTTTGGGTTAGACGTTTGCTTTCATTTATGTCCGCTTCCTTGTTCCTCAGCTGGCTGATTGGCCACATTCCGTTCCACATCACAATTCATAGAGTCATGACTCGGGAGAATATTGAACGCGTTTAATATTTAGGATTGTCGGCTCAGCCCGTTTCAAAATCTATTGTTGTTCCAAATTCACTCCACAGGATGATCTGATATGATGATCCGATAAAACGTAGGATAACTTGCCGTTTGTCGTCCTTGGTCGGAAAGGGGCAAAGTTGGGAGAAAAACGGCGCAATTATCTTTGTGTGTACCATGACTGACTGGTGTCAAACCAAATCACGACAAAACTTAAAATTCAACAAACGAGATGAAGGACATTGATATTAAGCAGTGACACTTCTCCTGTAAAGTTGGCTAGCACTCAACCTGGAACATGTTGCTCACCTCGGTAGCTTTGTGGCTAGGACTTCATTTCAATTAGAATCCTTCAAACGTTTCAACCAGAAACACAAGCAGTAGCTAGCCACTAGCTCACTGTTTACCATAACAATGATACAAAAAAAGCAAATCTCTGTTCTGTGCTGTGATTGGCCAATATACGTTTAGGAGGATGTGGCTTTGCGCAAGATAAATTCTAAGCTGTTCATTTATTTTTTGGAATTGGAAATGCGCTTGATTTACAACCTGCAGCTCCCTGCCACCCCCTGGACTCTCATTAGCTGTACCAAAGTTAGTCGAGAAACACACTGTAGATATCATCCTCACGGTAAGAACAAGAGCGCGTAACCGAGAAGTGGATTCTGATGGACCTCATCCTGGGGTGGTGACGTTCTGAAACCACACCACAACTCAAATCTTAAAAAAACAAAAAAAAAAGAAAACATAAGCGATGAGAATAATATGGATTCCCAGACATGATGTTGCCACAATGTAATTGTTTGCTTCGTACAAATGCTAACTTGTGACCACAAAATAGGCATAATGTGCACACAAAATACTAATTAACTAAAAAAACTTGCACATCGGGATAATCAACTGGAACATACCTTTCCTACCTTATTGTCCGGAATGACTTCTTAACGCTTGCATCGCAAAGCAACACTGCATTCATTTGTATTTTGTGGTCTCATTATTCCTACTTTGTGACCATGATTTAGTATTTTGTGCACACGTTCTACTTTGTTGTCATAAATTAGTATTTTGCACATTATACAGTATCTATAGTGTGGCTAAGATAGTTTTGGGTTTTTTTCCCCATAGGGCTGCACGGAGGAACACTGTTGGGTGGAAGGAAAGGAACACTTTTAAAAGAACAGAGTAATTCAGGAAAAAAAAAATCACAAATATGTTGACTTGTTTGGTGAGTAGTGTTCTCCTGATAGGCCATATTTCACATACACAAGCTAGCATCTTGTGCGTTTGAGTTAACATCTCATGTACAGCGCTTTCACCTGTTTTGAATTTGCAAGTCACAAATTGCTCTTGTTATGACGTCCTGAGGTGTCGCAAAGTGATGGCGAGTAGGAAAGTAGTATTGCGAACCCCCACCATTCGCAAATTCACCTATGCATGTTTTTTACCCCATGGGATCTAACCTGCTCTCTTTCTGGAACACAGTAAAGCGCCACAAGATGCCGCCAAAGCACTTGGCTAAGAGGAAAGCAGTCATTAGTGTTTTTTAGTGAAGGATCACTGGATCCAAATTTTTAAGGAGACAAAAGTATTCAGATACATCTTATATTCACAATACATAGAGCGAGCATATGTGCTTATAATTGGCCGTGTTTTTTGTTTACATTTGACTGCAATGTCTTTTAGGTATTGTGCAGACAACTGGGATACGTCTGATTTGATCCAGACTACGATGAGTGCACACACGGCACAGAATCTCTGTGTGAAATCAATATCCAATCATTGGCAATACCTCACCTTTGTCAAAGGCAAACACACACACATCTGGGGTCTTCCGTCGGGACTGCGATTTGGTCACTTTGCAGGACCTCAGTGTGAAACAGGCTTTGGTCTCAGGTCTTAAATCTAACACGAGCACACGGGCACGGACAAGTTACAATCATGCAGTTTAACATATTTCACTTTTACACAAGATGCTAACTCGTGTGCTCAGGTTGAAAAATGTCATCACCCATCAGGACCTAGTGTATTGAATTTTAATATTTCCAATGTGCAGTGTGAGACAAGATAGCCGGAGCATGTGGGATGGACGCAAGTTCCAAAAGAGATGGGAGTTATGTTTGTTATATTTAGTCCATTAAGTTTGCAACAACAACAAAAAAGAGTGCTCAACTTATTACATTTGAAGTTCCAGAGAGACAAAAAGATGTCCAGCATGAGTCCTTCACCTGACTTGGCTTGAGCTTCAGCGTGCCATTAATGTAAGCCAGTGACTATTTTAAGGGAAAAGTCCACATTTTCTATGTAGATGTAGTTTTTATATCATAGAGTGCACCGATGATTACAATAACCGTGCGTGAACAGTACACAAAGATGACTTGTGATACCTCGTCAGCTTCCAACCTCCCGACAATCCTCCTCCACCATCATCTGAGCCCGAGCAGCTTCGACTGGACTGCTCACTTCTTCTCTCATGACATGTGGACTTCCTCTCTGGCCTCACATTCTTCTTTTAAATGTAAACAAAACAAAGTGGAAGAAAAAAGTCAATCCCAATAAATAAAAATGCACTTCTTTGGAATTGGCTTGGCTTCTTCTTTTTATTTTTTTCAATTATTCACTTGAAGAAGTAAATGCCGCACTTGAGCCCTTGTTAAGAAATCCTTTAACGATCACATGTTTTAATTAGTCAATTCTGTTGAGATACTCTGTGGATCTGACAAAAATCAAAAGGTTCCTTGATTCCAGCATCCAAAATTGCAGTTAGTGTATTTTGACACACGTGAAAGGTAGTTTGACAATATGAACTATTATTCTTGTTCTGCAAATCTGAGGTCAGTTTGTTCTTAGCAGGGTCTTCTTAACTCAATGAGAAGGATATGGGGATTTTTCTACCAAAGACTGAAGGTTTCGGTCACAAATTTACGATTGATTTACATTAACTTCAGGACAAGTCAGCATGGGCGGATTTTTTATTTTTTTGATTTGATAGGCCACACTTTTGACAGAAGAGTGGCCTAAAAATCCTTAGTCAATTCTGACAAATTAACTTTATTTTTGTTTCAGATCTCTATCCAATGATATACTTTTTTTTATATACACCTACATTGATTTGAAATTTTCTGTCACTTCCCTGCATCCTGATGCTTGCAGCAACGTGTGACATACTGTATGTTCTTCTGTAATCCCTGAATGAACCTTCAAGAATATTTTCCGTTTTTATGTCACTATTTCAACAGGTTGTCGCTAGAAAAAAAAAAAAACTTCTGAGATAAAGGCACACTGTAAAATGTTGCTTGGTGCAATTTTGCTACTTTGGCGCTTTAAAGTTTAAATTGTTGACAACCACGTTGGACCTTACTGTACAACACACAACAAATAGAATTACACACATTGTATATTTAAATAAAATACATTGTTTTATTTACCTACATCGCCATCTTAATGCTAGCACTGGCTAGCAAGAATTTGGAATTTGCATTAAACATCACGGGATGTATTTATTTTCCTACAAATAACCCACACGTTGTATGACCACAGACAGATAGGTAATATAGCAATACTCACGGGTATATATATTTTCTAATGTAAGAAAAACTAGTTAGATAAATAAAATTTACCACTTTCATCTTCTTTTTTAAGTATATCCCCATGTTTGCACGACACTGCCCCTAGGAGGCTAAAGCGAGCACGGCAGGATCCACAAAATCATCCAGCCGTAGCCACACCTGAAATAAAATATTTTTTTCATGATACTGTGTATCATAAAAATGCATCATTGTACTAATTAAGGCCTCCAGCCAATATTCCAACATAGTTAAATATTTAACTATCTATCATGGAAGAATTCATAAAGATTCCTACCTTGTGACCACTGGAATTCTTCAGGTTTTGGTCTCACTGATCTCATTCCATCTCTTTCATTGTGTTCCAAAATGAACAAAGCACACATCGACATGCACACAGACACACAATCACACACATGGCCTAGAAGTGAACTGAAGCAGAGGAGGCGCAAAGTGGCTGATGAATATTTTATTAGAAAAATTGCTCTTTATGCGGCGAATAGAGTAAAAAAAGATCAGACGCTTTTGGAGTAACGCCGCCTGAGTGACTCTCTGTGGAAGCTGAAGATCTTTTCGGACGCCGCCTGACTGACAGCGATGCACTGCTGCATCTGTACACAAAAACGCACGTTTACCCAAACATATGTAGATAAATACATAGATTTATTATGTTGGTCTCCATATGTGTGTGTGTGTGTGTGTGTGTGTGTGTGTGTGTGTGTGTGTGTGTGTGTGTGTGTGTGTGTGTGTACACACAACATTTATTGCAAATGGTTTTGCGGACCCCAAAATATAGCTCACAAACCCCTGAGTGTCCTTGCTTTAAGAACCACTGGTTCATTTCACCAACCTCTTGTACTGAAAACGATCCTTTGGTTGAGGTCATCATCACTTGGTGCTCTTTGCTGTCGATGGCGAAGGTCATCAGCGCTCGACTCTCCTGATGAGGGCGAAAGCAGACGAGCACATTCAGCATTCGAATAGCATTGATAGTACAGTCGTCTTTTGCCATATCGTGCTTCACATGTTGCGGGGTCACCACATCGTGGATTTCTTTGTCATACTTTCATAGTGGATTATTTGCTGTATCGGGGGGGATTATTTTTCCACACTGACTGTTACTGCGGAGCAATAAGCATTAAATTAGGCTGGAAGAATGTTTCAGACAGAATGCCCGAAGCTCAAGTGGGTGTGCCTGGTTTTTGAATCTGCCCCACATAAGGAAATCACACTCACCGCTTCCTGAGCAGCGGTCGGGTCGGTGATGATAGTTCCATCCGTGTGGATGGCGCAGGTGACACCGCAGAACAGGCAACTCATCGGCAAGCCGGCGTCCATCATAGCCATGCAGCCGGCGTTGAGGAAGCAGGACAATAGCTGGACAGTGGGTCAGGAACAGAAACACGTGCATGCATGCCAAACCGGCCCAATGCATTAAATAAAGATGTATTGTATTGTATAACCTACTAAACATCTGCTTTGGGCTCCATGACCACAAGGGGCCCCAGGAGAAGTTTTCAGTCAACAGCACAGCCTGGAGTATGACTTTTTTTTTTTTAATGAATGACATTGAAAGGGTTCAGAGTAGATTAAATATTTATTTGAAAAGAAAAATACTTTGGTAAAGATGTGCAAAGCTGACAACAGAACAGTTCCAGAGCTGCAATGACTTTGTAGTATAGCAGGTATATGAATGATCAATGATCAATATCAATGGAAGTTAAAAACAAATTTTGCTTTGGATCCATGGAAGCGACGGGCTGTACAGAAGAAAAACTGCAGAGGTCTTGCTGTGTGAGAAAAGGATACAGAGCCATCGTTATGGAGCTCCTGTAAAACCAGCGTGAGGGATGATCGAGGGTGAAGGGACAGCAGTAGGGATGCCTCGCAGGTTTCTCGCACGCATTGCTCCTGAGCTCGCTCCTTCACACCTCCAAGGGAAAAAAAATGCTTGTGAAACACTGAGGTACACTATCAGAACACCCAATCAAAATATGTGCTCGTATAAGTTGATTCCTTGATTTTATTGTTTTATTTTTGTAACTCCCAGTCTTCCACTAACATGAAACACACAGCCGTACGAGCTTTCAGGTCTCCCGACGGACATGTCATATCCACCTATTTTGCGTCTGTATTGTTCCCAGAATGCATTCTGTGGCACAATGCATTTAATTAATTAAGTTAAAAGGGTGAAACCTTGTCACATGTGTGCTTGTGTTACCAATAGTTGAATGTGTCATATCGTCACTGTCCTGTGAATAACACATAGGTCCATTTTTGTAATTTTATAAATGTTACTTTTTTTTTTTTTTAATGACAAAAATGGGCGTACATTTTTTTCACAGGAGAGCATCTGTGACGTTTATGTTGCAATGCTTTTTTTTAAACAAACCGTGACACTGAGGGGAAAAAAACCCAATTTCTGCTGGGCCAACATTTTCAAGCAGTGTAACAAGGCCCACAAGTTTAATTTAAACAAGTGTTGAACACCACTAACGCCACCTGGTGGGCCTAGTAAAAAAAAAAAAAAGCTCCCAACAATTGGACGGTCAATAATGACATATACAATATCTTAGCTCAGGACTTACTTGGAAGTCCAACTTTGGGTTGTATGATCACCTCCAACGTCGCCCTGTCATAAATTTCCTTACTGACTTTAACTTCAGCTGGTCCGTACACTGCAGCCAGCACACTGGTATTACCTTGAAACAAACAATATTGCAAATGAACTACAAAATATCATCTGTGATCCAGATTTTTTTCAATGGTAGTTATGGATATACACTCACCTGCGATCATCACATTGCATTCACTGTGACAGATGTTGCTGTCATCATGACTATTACTGTTGATATGGCTGTTGTACCCATTGCTTTAACCACTTTTACAATCCTATTTTTCTTAGTTTTACAGTTACATTTTTAAAAGCATTTGAAATTTTTTTCTTAAAATTAGGACAATACTGCATCATTAACCCTTTCATGCACCTTGTACCCTGATAACACGATAAGCTGTCCACTGTAGTAACCGCTGTCCCTCAAAGGGTTAACAGTTCAAATGAGTATGTACAGTTGTACAAAACTACAACCACAAAAATTAGAACATTGTTTAATTAAAAACTGTCTGAAAGTGTCAGAAATGAACACTTGGTGTTAATTACGTGAGCCAATATAATAACATACTACGGGGGCCAAATGGAAACGGCTCAGACATGGATTTATAAAAGCTTCTACGGGGAATAATTAAGCATAAAAACACGTGTTGATTTACAGACCTACACGTCATACAGTGTTTGCCAAATGATACAATGAACTAGAATAGCCAGCAGGTCTAAACACTACTCACACTGAAAACTAGCGACATGCCAAGTCGCTAAAGCTGAGTCATAATTCTGTGTTGTTACCTTGTATGAAAGACGCCGAACCGTCTGAACGAGACAGTAAATTTTGCTCGCAGCCAAACTCTCGGATGGAAACCGTGGACGGACTACACTCCTCCATCATGCCGTCAAATGTGTGTGTTGGTCGCGAGAAAATTGCGTCACTCATGATCATCGTTTGTGGAGGCGCTCATTGGTGACATCACAGCCTAGTCTGCTTCTGCGCGCTGTTCAGGTTCTTTCAGCGAAAAGAAAGCCCCGCACAAAAACTCAGAAATAACATCAGCTATAACTGTAGATATTTGAGTATATTGTATTATATATTGATATTTTCTACACTTTTAAACACTAATATGAACAGCCACATTCACACATCACTGAGTTGGAACCCCACGCTGCTCGCACACAAATTAGTCCACTGCACTAAACACCATCAGCGAACATACAGCCTTACAGAGAAACGTTTAATGTCTGCGAAAATGATTTGTGGCGAATGTGTTCTATTTTATTCATTCATTGATTCATTTTCCAATCCGCTTTATCCTCACAAGTGTCGCGAGGGAGTGCTGGAGCCTATCACAGCCGTCTTCGGGCAGTAGGCGGGGCACACCCTGAACCAGTTGACACAGAGACGAACAACCATCCGCACTCACACTCACACCTAGGGACAATTTAGAGTGTTCAGTCAGCCTGCCATGCATGTTTTTGGAATGCGGGAAGAAACTGGAGTACCCGGAGAAAACCCACGCAGGCCTGGTGAGAACATGCAAACTCCACACAGGGAGTCTGGAGCTGAAATTGAACCCGGTACCTCTGCACTGTGAGGTCTAAGCGGCAGCGCTAACCACTGGACCCCCTGTTCTGTTTTATGTCAGCCTAAAACACTACCTTCTGACTGTCGAAATACAATTAATGTGTATTTTTCACCTGTAAACATGAACTCATTTATTATTTTTGGTTTCTTAATTCACAGTGTTTGCAGTTGTTTTGAAAACATTTCAGTTTGTTCTTTTTCATTTTTATCGAAGTAGGTGAATTAGGTGGAACGGTCATCGACTGGTTTGCACGTCCGCCTCACAGTGTAGGGGTGCAGGGTTTGATTCCGGCTGTGGGCTTCCTGTGTGGAGTTCGCATGTTTTCTCCGTGCCTGCGTGGGTTTACTCCGGGGACTCCGGTTTCCTCCCACATTCCAAAAACATGTATGGCAGGTTAATGGAACGCTCTAGTCTAGATCGTCACTCAGTGTGAGTCTGAGCACGAACGGTTGTTCGTCTATGTGTGCTCTGCAGTTGGCTGGCAACCAGTTCAAGGTGTACCCCACCTCCTGGCGGAATACAACTGGGATAGGCTCCAGCACGTCCCCGACCCTCGTGAGGATAAAATTAGAAAATGAAAGGCTGGTTGGGTGGATGTAAAGATGAATAGTTGAATAAGCACTTCAACTTTTGCCACAAGTACTGAATATGTCTTTCTACTTATGTACTGTGCAGATTATGAATACTTCTGTAATAATTGTTGGCAGGCAGGGATTGGGTTTTATGTGTCTTTTTATTAATAACGTGGCAGAGCAACTAACATACGGTGGACTTACTCGCAGTTGCTTCCGGGAACTCCCCCTTATAGGCGGGACCTGTCCATCAACTCAAGCATGACGTAAATAGTGTAAACTCTCGTAAAGCACTAAACATATAATAATAACCTATTATATGACATCTCCCCTTTTAAGAACGCAATAGTAATCTCTAAGTCAAATACAACATATTCACTGGGATATAGCAGAGTTATATACAAACACATACAAACTACAACTAACCAAAATGACACTTCTATTCTAATAGCTTCAACCATGTCTATAACATTTAAGTAATGACAACAATGCGGAAAAACTCGATTGCCTGTAAAGCTCCATCATACACGAACATACCAAAAATTTTGCATAAACGAGATACCGGAATTTTATTGTCATGGCTCCTGATGAATATGTAACGTTTATATCACTGTACAGTGAAGTCTGATCATTTTTATTAGCTATTCATGTTGGCAAACTGCTAAAAATATCAAACATTAGGTTTAAAACCAAAATAAGTCTTATTTTGAAGCCTCATTTGACTTCCGTTGTGGTGCTTGTCTCGATGTTGTGTATGTAATTTTTTTCCGGGTACGTGCGATTGCACATTGGAAAGTGGTATTCCTGTGTCGTGATCGGATTACTAAAACTAACTTCCAAAGACATACATTAGCCGCTGAAAATTTAGTCATTCAAACATAGTGTGAGGACGGTCTTAATGGCAGCTGTTAGCACCTTTAGCAATATGAACAAAATGTATAGAGCATGTTTCCACGCTAGTCGTCAAGCGGCTGCCCTAAAGGCGTCGAGGCTACTTAACAACAGAACTTTCAGAGTCAACGTAAGTAGATAAAACGTATTTGTATTGTGTAGCGTCGCTTAGCTTTGCAACCTCGAAGGTCGCGTTAGCGTAAATGCCCCCCAAAATGTTGTTTCTGGATCGAGCGTGGCAACCCGGAAGGGCGATTTGTCGCATTAACACGCAAAGTTATGTGGGATGTTCTCCTTCATAGTGTGACCAAGTGTGTGATTTTAAAAGGAAAACAATGTGGTGATTTCAATTTAATGTTAATTCAGCCACGGTGCGAAGCTAACGTCTTCAAGTCTCGCGATACTTTGGCAAATAATCTGGCTGAGCGGCAGTCGATGAAATAAAATGTTTAAATCACAAATAAGGCTTTGTGGATTCTCGCAGCGAAACATACAGGTTTTACAATTTAAAAAACAATCTTAGATTTCGCAGAAATGCGTGCAACCCATGTCCGTTGGGGTGCTCGGAGCGATTTAGCTAGGTGAGTAAGTGGTGAGCGAGTCGGTTCGTGGTACACAGTTGAGTGTGATTGGTCGAGCAGTGGGAGCGTCCGAAAATGTCGTCACAGCAACGAATATGGATGGATGGTTGGATAGATAGATAGATAGATCGATCGATCACAGCAACGAATGGTGTTATCATAACTATTCAATAAATATTTAATGAATCAATAAAAATGGATATCATCTTTGCGTTAAATCTAGTGCAAGCATCTGTTCATGTCTTGCTATTGATTACTGTAATAGATATACACATTGGCCATCCAACTTCAAAAAAAAACCCCACATTGTGTATGATATACTGGTATATTGTACGATATGTTTTTTTTTTCGTATCTTCAATATATGTGGTTTATTGCACAACTTAACTGACTGATGGATGAATAATGCCATAAATGGATATTTTCCAGTCCACGCACAGACAACAGCCGTTCGACTCAACGCTGGAAAAGCCTCAGTTTCCCGGTGCCTCCGCGGAGTTTGTGGACCAACTGGAGTTCATCGAGCCCAATGTAATCGCAGGCATCCCAGTGTACCGGGTCATGGACCGCCAGGGCAACATCATCAACCCCTCCCAAGATCCTCAGGTGGGGCCCGCCTTCCGGCCCAGGCAAAGCTAAATTCTTTTTGGAGGGGGGTGGCCCTCTGTTTATGAAAATAATATTAAATATTGATCATTCATTGTTATGTTTGTGAGAAATGCAGATTTGAAAGAAGTTTTGTGATAGGTGAAATGGCAAGACTCCTTGTGACTGGCTCCAAGTCAGCCCCAAGAAGATTCAGAGGCTCCAAAATTCTATTGCCTGGTAGACAAAATGTCTCAATTTTAGTTTCTGGCATGTTTCATCAGCTCTCTAAAGAGACGGTTCTGAACTTCTACCACAAAATGACGCTGCTGAACACGATGGACCGCATTCTCTATGAATCCCAGAGACAGGTGATTCCTGCCGCTCACTTCCTGTTTTTAAGTGTGGAAGAAGTATGATTATGAATGATTTTAATGTTTTCAATCACAGGGGAGGATTTCTTTCTACATGACCAACTATGGCGAGGAGGGCACGCACATTGGCAGTGCCGCCGCTCTCGAGCCAAACGACATGGTCTTTGGACAATACCGAGAAGCTGGTTGGTATTTATTTAAAAAACAAAAAACCAGACCCAAAATATAGAAGCCTTTTAATTAAAATAGTTGTATATGTGAGGACTTATCCACAAAAACATGCAAACTCCACACAGGAAGGCACTTTGAGGTAGAGCATGAAAAGTGTTTCGTTTTCTACTTTAAAACCCCAAGCCTTGTTTCTAAATCTAACCCAGACTTTAAACTCTAAGCCTGGCTTGATAACTTACTTTGGAACACTAGCCCTAGCTTGATATCCTATTTTATAACCTTAACCCTGGCTTGAAATCACAATTCAAAACCCTAACCCGGGTTTGAATCACGAATGTGAAACCTCAATTTGAAACCCAGAACCCTTACTTAAAATCCGATTTTTGAAGACCTTGCTTGAAACCCTAACCAGAGCTTGAAACCACGCTTTTGAAACCCATCCACTGAGCCATCCATTTTTTGATCGGACGTATCCCAGCTGTCTTCGGCATTAGGCGGGGTAGACCCTGAACTGGTTGGCAGCCAATCGCAGGGCACACCTAGACATCACTCATAATCACACCAAGGAACCATTTAGAGTGTTCAATTAACCTGCGGTGCATGTTTTTGGAATGTGGGAGGAAACCGGAGTACCCAGAGAAAACCCACGCGGGCACGGGCAGAACATGCAAACTCCACACAGGAAGGCACTGTGAGGTAGACGTGCTAACCAGTCGACCACCGTGCCGCCACTTTTGAAACCTTAATTTTAAATCATAACCCTGAATGGAACCCTAAAGCAATTAACACCTGAATTCAAAAAACTAATTTTATTCTCTAACCCTTATTTGAATTTAACTGTAACCCAGATTTGAATACTGAATTTGGAAGCAAAGTAAATTATCATACATGGTCATCTTGTGATGAGATATTTTCATTGGTTTCGTGACCATTGAGCTGTTGTGTGCCCCCCCCCCCCCCCCCCCCCCCCCCTGCAGGCGTGCTGATGTATCGCGGCTTCTCCCTGGACTCATTCATGGCTCAGTGCTACGCCAACGCGGACGACCTGGGCAAAGGCCGCCAGATGCCTGTGCACTATGGCTCACGGGATCTAAACTTTGTCACCATCTCCTCACCACTGGCCACGCAGATCCCGCAAGGTGAGTTTGCCGTCCCGCAACGCGCGGGTCGAGTTTTGACTTAAGTCCCCCTCCGCGGCACACGGCAGGTGATGTCCTATTTCCTGTCATTCAGCGGTCGGAGCCGCATACGCCATTAAGCGCGAAAACATCAACCGAGCTGTGATTTGCTATTTCGGCGAGGGGGCGGCCAGCGAGGGAGACGCCCACGCCGGCTTCAACTTCTCAGCCACGCTCGAGTGCCCACTCATCTTCTTTTGCCGCAACAACGGCTACGCCATCTCCACACCCACCAATGAGCAGTACCGTGGCGACGGCATTGGTAACAAAACTCTTACCTCTGGGGATTATTTTTGTCTGTTTTTCCATGTTCCACCCTTCTTAAAATGTGAAATAGATGGACAGATAGCTAGATGGATCGGTGGAGAGATACAGTAGTTGGTGATAGATCTATACCATGTAGCATATTTTTCAGACTACAGTATAAATACTACTTTTTTTGTCACAGTTTGGCTGGTCCGATTACCTTGTAAATATTAAGATGAGAGCTTGGACAAGCACCCCAAGTCCCCTTTACTTGAATTGGGTTGACAGCAGCGAACAAGTTCTGGTTGGCTTAGAAACTTCCGCATCTAACTCTGGAAAAAGTTTTTCTTTTTAGTTTAAAATGATAAATGACTTACCGTAACGACAAACCGCAAATCCATTAAAGTCGGGACGTTGTGTAAAATGGAAATAGAAAACAATAAATACTATGCGCCAGATGGAAGAAGTTGCCATGGCAACTCACGTGTGACATATCGCTAGTTTAGCCTACGGCTTCCACCACAACAATGATTTACTATTTACAGCACCAAAAGATGCAATAACCCACCAAGATTCTACCTTTGGCTCCAATGTGATGTGGAATTCTACTTAAGGTAGGCCATTTTAAACTAAAAAGCAAACATTTTCCATAGATCCAGCCATTCAGTGCTGTCAACACGATTTGGGAACAGTGATTTTGGGTGCCAGTGTTGGTCTCGGTTTTAATAAAATAATTTTCGACCAAAAATGCAGAGCAAAATACGGTAGATGGAACTATAGACAGACAGATATACAGTAAGTAGAAAAATTGATGAATGTACGGATAAACAGTTCGATAGTTGGATCAATGTTAGCTGGATATATTAATGGATAGATAGGAAGATCTTATTGATGAAGGGAAAGATAGGTGAATAGATCGACACATAGACGGGTGGGTGATAGATGGATAAATTGATTAATCCACAAGAGAAATTTAGAGTCAGTCTGTCCTTGGGGCAAGACAGGGAGCTCAGCCTGCCACCAAATGCTGATATTAACACTGCTACAATTGTTACTACTACTTCTAACAATAATCATAATACTACTGTAATAACCCAAATACTGGTCAACAGCTGCTCGCGGTCCGGGCTATGGCATGCTGTCCATCCGCGTGGACGGAAACGATGTGTTCGCCGTGTACAACGCCACCAAGGAGGCTCGGCGCAGAGCCGTCGCCGAGAACCAGCCCTTCCTCATTGAGGCCATGACATACAGGTGGATATAAGCAAAGCGTCGCATGTCGCCACGTCTCACGCTGCACGATTCCACAAAACACTTAGGTCACGTTAAGTTCCAACCAGAGCATTTGTTTTCACAAATTGTTGGTCTTTATTTATTTATTTTTTTATTTTTTCATCCCGCCTGATTTTTGTGTATCTTTTCAAGCAAATATTTTTGTTCAATATTTAGCATTTTTTCGAATATGTTGATTTTATTTTAGTATATTTGTGTAATGTTTTTCCATTCCTCTATTTGCATTTTCAATCAATTTTTCTATTTGTGTGTTTCTGGCAAATGGTCGTGTTTTTTCTAATCATGTCAACACTTTACAAGACAAACATAATGATGTCCAAACAGTCACCCTCCCCCACAAAAAAGGCAGATTTTTGCGAATTTTCTTTGTTGAAATTACAAAAATACTAACTGACAACATATTGTTAAACAGTTAAATGTTCTATCTGTAATATCTTTATTGTTGTTAAGCATTAAGGGGGCAAAAAAAAGTTATTACCGGTACATATCCCTTTAACTCACAGGTCGTTTAAACAGTCATCGGAATTTCATTGTCCAAATATCAGAATCAGCCCCCCAAAAATGTCCAAATCGGCCGGACCCTAGTTAATAACATTACGTTTGGGCTGATTTTCATTCAGAATCGGCCACCACAGCACCAGTGATGACAGCTCGGCGTACCGCTCAGTGGACGAGGTCAATTACTGGGACAAGCAGGACCACCCCATCTCGCGCCTACGCCACTACATGGCGTCGCGGGGCTGGTGGAGCGAGGACGACGAGCGCGCCTGGCGCAAGCAATCACGCCAGACCGTCATGGAGGTGTTCGAACGGGCCGAGAAGCGTCTGAAACCCAACCCGGAGCTGCTCTTCACTGACGTCTACGAGGAAATGACACCCGCCCTCACCAAGCAGCGCGAGTCGCTCTTCCGCCACGTGCAGCAATACAAGGAGCACTACCCCCTCGACCTTTACGACAAAGACTCTCACTGAATGTTTTTTTTCCATGGGTTCTCAAACAGGGGTCCGCAAAATAATTGGTCATAAATTGTCATGTGTTCCCCCTCCCCCTAAAAAAGTGCAAATTGCTAGCCTAATAGCATAATTGTCCATGTCATTTTTAAGTTACTGTCACAAACTGTCCCCCTATATTTCCTTTGGACCAATTCCAAGCTCTGATAACATTTTGCTGGATCATGACATAAATATGACTTTTTTTTTGGCGTATTACAATAATATATTTTTTTTGGTATAATAAGTTGCTTAGAACGTATTGCCAGCCTATTTTGTAGTGAGAGGGGTTACAGAATAAAGGCATTTATCTCCAAAAACTAAACAGTGTACAGTAATGTCAAAAAAGTTTCTTTGAAATATAATTGTCTTCTCTCCTCAAACTTTGAATGTAATATATTATGACTACATTGAGAAAATTCATCTTTAATCTGATTACCGGGACAGCTTTTTATCCCGAAAAATATATCTGACCGTCTTGTAAAGAAAAAAAAAAGTTCCCCAACAAATACTCCTGTATTCTTGGAAAATAACACCTTTTATAAACAGTGTAATTGCTCTTTTAAAGATTGCAGTTTCTCTTCATGTAAAAATTCTTTATTCTTATTCTTTTTTCTGTCTTTTTCCTCCATTAGGCAACTTCTTAATTCCTATGGCATTCAGAGGTAGACATTAGTTGTCTCAAAGCACGATTGCCTAATTCATTTTTAACTTACTACTGTAAAAAAAAAAAAAAAAAAAAATCTTGATCATCCACAGAAGTTGAATTGAGGCTACTGAACTCTTTATTTTTCCCAAGGCGATATATCAATATAGGTCAACATGACTTAGGCAACTATGTTATTAGGCTAACAGAGCTCACGGGAGGGAGGGGAGTAAAAAATTGTTCCCTCTAAGATGTCCTTAGAGACGAAAAGTTTGAGAACCCCTGCTTTCTAATGATGCACAACAATGTAGTTTTGATGAAAAGTGTGTGTTTTCATAGATGTTCTTCTGCTTGGTGCCTTACGGTTAACACACGTGCTTATCATTTTATCACTAAATTGGAGTGAACGTCATGTGAAGACGGAAATACTTTTTGTGTGTAGATGCAAATACTTTTTGTCTCCTCTTCAGCTTTGTTTGTTCTGCTTTTCAGTGGGTTATGGAAAACTTGTTACACATTAATAGATAGCAGACAGGTGTAGCTCCTTTCATGCCGTGTTTTGTGGAGGAATAAAAAGTTTAATTCTTGGATCCACATAACTCCACAGTTCCTTTTTTCTTTTAGCTACACCCTAAACCACGTGTCAAACTCAAGGCCCGGGGGCCAGATCAGTCAGGTCATTTTCTGTGGCCTGCGAAAGAAAATCATGTGTGTCAACTTGCTAAAATTTGTACCGAAATTGAAATTGTCATGTGCAATAAATAACATTGAGATTGAGCAATAAATTTGTTGCCCGGTTTACACTCACTGGAAGAATAATTGAACAAACGATTATAATTTATTTCAAAACTAGTACTCTATTAATTTGTTGTGTACAAGTAATAATTTTGCGGTTTCACTGTCATAATGGCCCTCCGAGGGAAGACGTAACTCCAAATTGGCCCGTGACAAAAATGAGTTTCTGCCCTAAACGTATTGAATTATGTTTTTAGCTAGGAGGTTACTTCCTGATTTGTAGAGGATGACATTTGTTGGCCATTCTGATGACAGTTTTTATTCACACATTTAAAGGTCTATCTTGTTTCGACGAACTAAACATTTCAAGTGCCGTCTTGTTAGCAAGAAGGCTACTTCCTAAGCGTGCAGGCGTTTGTCGGCCATTTTTGATGGAGTCTTCCATTCACACAGAAGTTTCTAAATTGACTCTCTTGTTTGTGGACGATTACACTTGTCATAAATTTTGATAAGATCCCAACACTTTGTGTCCTTGTATCAACTTTCTCACAATGCAGCCTACGAAAGTGTGCTCCAAAGCAGCCTTCGCTCATGACCCATCTCCATGGAAACGAAGGCCAGATTCAAAGGCCACATGAATGTGGTCACCGGTGTGCGGTCAAGGCACGGCAGAAGTAACATCATGTGGCTATGAAATTCGGCCTCTGGAGGAAGCGGCCGACAAATTTTGATACAGCCTTTATTTTTTTAGCTAGCAGGGTACTTCCTGTGTTAGAGGCGACGATCTTGTCAATGATTTTAATTGGACTGTTCAACACAAATGACTCCCGACGATTCTTTTCCATGTTTCTCATTTTCTAAACTCTGTGATCCATCTTTGTTCTTTAGCTAGCAGGCTACTGCCTGGCTTTTTGTCCGGCATTCTGATTGGCCTTTCCCATTCACACCAAATTCCTCAATCCACAAATCTGAGATTGTTTTCGTCTCTACTTCCCAACATGCAAAGCAAGGAAGAAAAATACAGCAAAATAAATTATATATATATATATATATATATATATATATATATATATATATATCATGCCTTTCGAAACTGAACATAATTTAAGACTTTAAATAAATCCATTATATTATTACTTGAATTATTTTTTTAATTGTGTCACTGTGTTTAACAAGGTATGATCCTACATTCGTTCTGTTGGTGGAAATGTGATCTGAAGCCACTTTGTCAGTCTTCAACCCCCCCCCCCACCCCCGCATACAGATTTTCCCTCAACAAGTCAGTAGCGGACTGTGGATGCCCTGCCAGATCTTCTTTACCTGCCGGGGGGACCGACGGTGGACAAGAATCAACTTCTTGTAGGCACACAGGTTCCCACGGTCTCTGTCTCGGATGTCGAAGGTGTAAAAGCCAGCGTGGGCCTCGGGCAAGACGCCCAGGGCACTGAAGCACATGCCAACGTAGACATCATCGATGGGGAAATAGGGAATGACTCCGCAGGTGGAATAAAGCGGTCGCAGCAAGCCCCCGGAGATTACAAAGCCGCCACCACCCACGTAGGCCGGGTAGGGCCCCTCATAGAAGCTCATGGGAATGAAGTATTTGTTCTTGGGGTCCCGTTGGGGACTCGCCATCTTTATCACGTCTCCGGCGTACAATCGAGAGGCCTTGGAAGAGTCGAGAGAGCTGAGGTAGCTCAGCAGGGCCGGGGTGTTGACCATGACGTCGTCATCACCGCTGAAGACAAAGGAGACCCTCGGACATCTTTCCAGGGTCCAACGGAAAAAAGCGTTCATCTTGAGGGTCAGGTTGAGGAGAGAATCGTGGAAGTCGGCCTGCAGGATGTCGCCGTAGTTCTCTGCTTCAAACCTGAGCCATTGACACCAATTTAGCACTTTAGTTGCTAGATCTAGCAACTTTTCAGACAAACTTAGCAACTTTTTTTCAGGGAAACAAGTGTCGCTACTTTTTAAAATTTGCGGTTCAACTTTCTTTGGCACTAACATACCACCAAAGCAATACAGTCCTGTTGTTGCTTTCACCTGAGCACGAACCAATACAGTAATGGGTCAATTTTTCCACATGGACTCATTTGTGGGAACGAAGTGCAAATATGCCAGGTTTCACTGTAGCATAATAGATGTTGGTAGTATAAGTATAGAAATTTTAAGCCATTGAGGCAAAAAAAGGAGGAAAAATTAATTAAATTACCGGTAGTAAACATAACTAGCCTCAATAATTCCAACTATTGTCGTACAAATTAATGCCATCGAAACTCATATAATGATGCCTTTTCTTATTTTAAGCTAAAATTGATCATAAGAAATACAATTGCAATAAATTTGAATCACTTGAGGGCTTGAATCAAGTGAAATGCTTGGCAGCAACACAAAAAAAGCATCTTCTCCCCTGACTTCAGATTATAAATCTTGCTTAGATTTTTTTTCCCCAATTATCATGATGCAACGGCAATGTAATTTAAAAACTTTTAGCACCAAATAGTGATTGACATCTCCTAAAATTTAATTGGCAACACTGACCTGACCAGCACACTGAGATCTGGGTCGTCCGGTGAGGCGGTGCCCAGCAGGAACGCTGTCCTCACACGTAGTCCCCCGTTATAGAGGCGCTCCTGTCCCCAGGTGTCACGCACTGCCTGCGCGAAATAAATGAAGTGCCAAAGAAGCATATTTTTGTCTTTTCAGTGATTAGCAACGTGCCGTGCCACTAGCGGCCGACGCCCTCTTTCTACGGTTATGCAGGAAGAATCACTGCCCAAGTACTGTTCAAATGTATTTAACTTTTAAGCTCAATACAATAAATACCGTATTGGCCCGAATATAAGACGGCCCTGATTGTAAGACGACCCCCTCATTTTCAAGATTCAAGTTTGAAAAAAGACTTTTTGAACACCAAATTAATTTTTATACAGAAAATAATGACTGTACATCTGAAACAAATGATTATAACAATATATTTGAGAGAAAGAGCATGTTATTTTGCCTCATTCAAATCTAAAGTGCAGTCACATTCGTAAATGAATGGCTTCTGGTTTTTGAAATGTAAATTACATCATAACTTCTCCTCAGCTGCCGGTTAACCTGGCCGATCTTCGACCCACTTTTCTCCAGATTGTCGCTACGTTTCTCCATTTTCTGTTTTCTCTTCTATTATTTTCTTCTCTTTTCTTTCTTACCGCTATTTTTTATTTTTCTTCTTCGTGCTACCGCTATTTTTATTTTTATTCTTTGTGACAGGGGTTCACTTTGGCCTGGGGAGTCAAGTTCAGCATTCGCTTCAATGATATCTGGCGCCATCTAGTGTTGTGAATGGGTATAATGTCTAGACCCTGAATATAAGACGACCCCCACTTTTTCAGTCTTATTTCAATGCAAAAAACACTGTCTGATATTCGGGCCAATACAGTAAAGTGTGAATGATTCAATTCAGTTAAATGAAAACCGATTTCCCAATTCAAATAGTTTTTCCTTACACCCCTCGTAGGTACAACACCGATTCCAATTTTAAGGGCAATACATTTAAATTCAATATGAAGTCACCACACCTGTCGCCGTTCAAAGTGGGCCGGCATGGATTTGATGGCAAATAACAGGAATGTGGCGTTCTCCTTGCACTTGTTGGGCTGGTCCATGAGGAACGGAGGCGAGCGGCACTTCATCCCCCACAGGAAGTTTCGCAGCAGGAATGGATAGGAGTCTACATCCTGCACGTTGGTCTCAATCAGCTCTTGATTGGTGTTCCGGCAGTAAGGCCAAGGCGGAACTCGACTCAATGGGTTCTCGCCCTGGTCTGCACGTTTCAGACTGGAGTGCAGAAGTCGATTCCAATATGCTCCATTTTCCGGGATCAAAGTCCGGAACGTGGAAGATATGTTGACACTTGGCAGGGTTGGGACTTTGGCTTGGACCGGGATTTGGACCGAGGTGTGGACCGGGGTTTGGATCGGAGTTTGGATCGGAGTTTGGACCGGGGTTTGGACTGGAGTTTGGACCTCCATTTGGCGCACGCCGGCACTCTTCGGAGGCTCTTTCATGCTGGAGTTCACCTCCTTTCGACTGTTGGAGTAGAGGAAGACGAGGAGTAAAGTGGACAGGAGGAGCAATACTCGGAACCTCTGAGTGATTCTCATGAGGGCGTTAGAGGTGGATCATTTTCTAGGAGTGGAGGACCAACCTGTGTGAAAAATGAAAGGAGTTATGGGTCATTCTAGAATTGCAGGACAGTGTATCATGCCGTGTTGGATGTCAAAGAATAAAAATGGGCTCCTTCCAAAGTTTGGGACCAGCGACAGAAAAAGCTCTATTCCCTCTGAGCCTCGACTTGGGTGCCATTAGCTGACCCAGCCCAGAGAGGTCAGGCACTGTGAGATGATTTCAAGATTGAAAGAAAAAAATAGAAATTTTAAATGAATTCTAAAGGAGCATGTGGAGGAAATCCAGAGCCGCAGTTACGTGGTCCCTCTTATGTGTTCCAGTTAGGAGGCAAGCAGCAACATTTTAAGCCAGCAGGATCAACGTTAAAGGTCAGGGCTGGCTGACTCCAAAATAAAGTGCATTACAGTAATCCAGCAGAGATGTGACAAAAGCGTTGATTACTGTTTCAAATTCCCGTTGTGCAATAAAGGGTGCCTTTGTCTGGTCACTTTTGCTTGAATCGTTCAAACGTTTTATTTGCTCACAGACATATTTGAAATAGTACGAATGCTCTGAAGTTGAGTCTCAACATACTGATACTAGAAGCCTTCTCGAGGAAGAGAACATGACATCAAGCTAATTGGTTGTGTGTTTATGTCTTTTGAGTTGGGAAAACTGGGTTACAGTACAGATATGTACATCGCATGCCCATCTCTGAAACGAAGTCATTTTTTTTTCTCATAACATATGATCCATAGTCATCTTTTCATGAAATAAAATGCCCACAATATCCAGAAGCATGCCCATCACAGTCATAATACAAGCCAGATAAAGTCTAAGCAAAAAAAGCAAGGTTTTGCTGAGCTTAATTCACAAGATAATGCGATTTTATTTGCCGTCGCTAGGTTTATCGTCTACGATCTCATGCATTAATTTGCATTTCCTCAGGAAAGGTCAATCAGAGCCAACACCATTTTATATACTGCAATTAGTAGCCCTTTCATTCAAATCATCTCTAAAAGTTTTAAGAAAAATAATTCAATAGCACCACAACGGCCTCTCAAGATACCAGCTCACTGAGGATCTCTGCCTGCTACACCTGACAGCCAGTCCAGTCCTGATCGCGGGTTCCATCTCAGGGTTGGTTCACGTGGGAATTTTTCTTTTTTTAATTACAGTGAATTATTTAGTATGTTAAGTAATTAAGTTTGATGTCTAACGTTGCCAGTGGCCCAGGTCCAAATTTACACAGAACATACTATGCATCCAAGGAAAATGAACAGTATTTCCGACATTCTAGTTAGTTGTCAACATAAATAGGAGCGCTACTTTCTGGATCATCATGTGCAGGCTTACTGAGTGTTGCCATCACTAATGTGAACCATCATTGTGTTTCCTTGGCTGGTTGCCTGTTGATTTGCTATTTATTGTTTTATTTGTTTATATTTATATATTTATGGCTTTATGTCTTTTTATGCAGTTCAGTTTCGCTGCCCTTATTGTTAGCTGTGTGTGTTTTCAACGCACTGCATGTTTGTACTGTGGTTGAGAGGAAAGAAATTTCATCTGTGCTCTATGTTGGACAAAGAGCATATTTGACAATAAAGCTGACTTGACTTGACTGAACGGTGGAACAAACGTTTCCCCAACAGATTGGCTCGACACAATTGATTATGGCCTGAAGCCTTTTTCAATCAATCTAAAATATTTCTTGTTTTGCACAATGATTTGCCTTACGTGCGAATGCTGCTTTGCAAACAATGCCGATTATATTATTAAAGAACATTTTGGCAGCCTGCTGTTCCATAAATTATCGTGGTGGTCTTGGTTACTCTCTCCACGGGTGTGCATCGTGTGTTAAACACGGCGCAATTAACCAGGGACTTTGTTCGGCGCTCCATCGTACAAACAAGTACGCATTAAAGCAAAACGGAGGCTACCACATCATCCTTACACATATTTAAGCAAAAGAGAGAGAAAGAAAAAATAAACTTACTGAAAGGTGACTTGCACGAGGCTTCTTGGGGCTCGACGACTCCGAGGATCACGTGACCTTACCTGGAGTGTTTGTGCAAAACATCAATAGAGTGTAGGTTTGATGCCACCACCAGCGCAAAGGGACTACTTTACGCGGCGGAGAAGACGGTGCAAGAGGCCAAGTTCAGTTTGGGCCGTATTTTCGGTTTTTCATTTATCTTCAGTTTATGGCCATAAAGCGGTTTTTACAACATATTTTCTTATGTTTTTACTCTCCTCCTCAGGTAGCAGCAGGGCATGCAGAGGACAATAGCCTATGCATGAGAATGATGCTTCCAACATTTGTGTTTGTCTGTCCGTGTGCGTGTGCGTGTGTGTGTGTGCGTGCGTGGGTGGCGGCACAGGTGTGTCTGTTATTTTTACAAATTACTCACCAATTTAAAACATCGAAAATGGTTTACTTTCTTTTAGGATTCCATTTTAAGGCTTGAACAGCCAGCGATATCTATAGAGATAGATAGATAGGCGAGTAATAAAATTATTTTATTATTATTGGAAGTGAACCTCCGAAGTCAAACAAAGTTTGAAAAATGCCACAAATAAAACTGAATTATACGCGATGTCGCATTACGTAAATCTTGTGAGACTTAAATCCAATGAACATCGAAAGGTAGCATGTCATTTTCATTGTGGGTCTCATCATTAGGTTCAATTTCAATTCTTATCCAGCATATAATGAATGCGATATCACGTTGTGTGGCTTTTTGCGGGATGCCAACACAAACAAACTACGGTAGGCTACATAGTTTGTCAAATATTTTTATGGAATGGGACCACCAACACATCTCGTCGAAAGTAATATGCGCACACAGTACGGTAATCGTACGCAGTAATGCCATGCCATATTTCTGTTGAACAGTACAAATGTTTGCAATACTAGACGTTTACGTGTATTGAATGTGTGTTTGAATACGTTTCAAAGTGATTACAGGGTGTGAAGAGTTGTCAGATCTGCGATTCCCAGTGTGATACACAACTGCAATTCAGTTGTGTATGTGTCTTAATTTAAATAAATTAGCATCTTTATACGTTTTATTTCTTTAGTTGTAATTTAACTTTTATATGAAATGTATTTTTACGGAATCATAAAGGAATGTTAAATATATCTCTTCCACTTCATTTTTTCACACGTAGGCCTGCTCGGCTACTGTATTTGAACGTTTATCATATTAGGAGAGCCACATTATTGTTATTATGACTGTATTTAGGTGGTACTTGGTGTAAAAAGTTTGAGAATCACGCAGTTAAATTATAAGGACAAAGGTTTTTCAAACATGTAAATGTGGCTTTAAAACGCTTTAAATGTGTAACACGCGCAGGAATAACTGAACTGGAAGGTACAATTTTTGCTTTTCCATTCCTTTTAATGAGAAGGTTGGTGGCGCAAAATGTTGTAGAACGTCTCTTAACAAAAACGGAGTACATTATTTGACATTTTATGATTAAAAAAAACACACCGTATAACCCTCATTAACTTGATGTCAGTACCTGCAAAAGGCCACTGGGCGTCAGTATTGCTTTGCAAACGCTTTCTTGTTCCATCTGTATTGCGTCTGTCAGGCGTCGACAACGGGGGAGGAGTTTGACTTTATTATAAGAGTTTTGTAATTTATTATACAGTGAAGTGTCAACTTCTTGTTGCACTCGTACGGCAATGGGGGTTGGGGGGGGCATTAAAATGTGAATTTAAACATCGCCTGTAGGTTTGCCAAGGTTTTTACTTGACTTCACATGATTTCCTGCTTTGGTTGGGTTGGACATCACTTTGGATGTTTCCACGCTATCAACACGCACGTTAAGACAAGAGTCGGAGACAGACCAGGCACGCGTAAAACAAGACAAACAAAAATGAAAGAAAGAAAGGAGAAACGCTAGTCTATTGCTCTTGTCGAAAACCATGCAAAATGTTCATCATGACGTGCGGGACAAAACCACACAAAGTCCTTGGGGACGATCAAATGAGATTCTCATCCCGTTGCGCTGAAATGAAGACATCACGGTTGTTGTTATAAGTGGAGCCATGGTGCCATAATAGGGAAAAAGCCATCTAAGCACTTTAACGTTGTTTTAATGCTTAACTTCTTAACGTTGTTCTGTTACGAAAGTCACAAAACATTTAATCATTTAGATAGGGTTGAGTCTATTTCCAAAAGTAGTACAGTTGGCAAAGAGAGTATGCTGAAGTGATACATGTTGATTGGTGGGAGACTAAGTTCAGCCTGTGTTGTTATGGAGTCTTTACCGCATTAGGTGTTTTTTTTTTTGTCTGAATCAAATAATCTGTAAATTGTTTATTTTTAACAGAAATGTAAATTAAATTCCAAATGAAGTTCAAGTGTTTTGGGATCACACTTGGTGGTAAATTGAATATTTAAACGATGTACATAGGCAATTTAAAAAGAACCTTTTTTTTTTGCTTCAGTTCACTTTTGAGGTTCACCGTTTGTGAATTTTGCTGATTTTTTTTTAAACCCGCTCCTCCATTATTTGTTTTAAAAAGATTATGGGGATTTCTTATTGACTTATTTGTGATTTTCCAGACACTTTGGTTTGGTGTTGTTGATACCACAGGTACCTAACATTGAAATACAAAGTTAATTTTCCCATGTATTTTAAAATATGGATGATTGATTTTGCTAACCTTCTAATAGTAATATAGATTTTTAAAAATCAATTTTTAATGCCAAGTTACTTTTTCGCCAAACCTGGAACAGTTGCTCTAAGGAAGAATTTATGAAACGATACATCTCAACGAAAAGACCAGCACTGGATGTCAGGGAGGAGCCAAGTTTAGTCCAGGTAAAAGCAGAAAGTCTTTATCGCATATGCATGTACATGTGCAATTCATCTATAAGACATTACTTTTAAGGGTAGAGTTATAGGATCAGTTTAAAGTGTCGATAAGATGTTTTGGGCTCATAGTTTGTGCTTATATTTATAGTTTAAACCATTAACAAAGGGAATTTAAAGCATTATTTGGGCATCAGTTACGTGCATTTTTTTTTTCCACTATTCGTAGAATGGCTCCATATCTCGTCATGTGCTGGCAATCTGACAACAGACTAATAACCATTAGTGCACTCAGGAGGATAGTGTTCATAGAGATCAGATCCTGTGGATGTTATGAAAGGTGGATATAAGGGCTTTAAGGTAAGCAAAGATGATGGGAGAGAGAAAGAGAGAGTCAAGGCAAAAACACAAGGCGCAGTGGTGAGGGCGGAGGTCAAGTCAGCGCAGGTCGTACTCGTCCTCCTGTATGGTTTTCTTGATGCGCAGTAGCATGGTGGTGAGCCACTGGTCAAGCCGCGAGATGGTGTCAAACTCCTTAACCTGTTCAAAATTAAAAACATCAATCAACCAATAAAACACGGTTTTATTTTAGACCAAAGTTACTGTACTTAAAAAAAAAAAACTAATGAAATAACTGAATCTAAAATTGAAAAAAACATTTTCGTTCACAAAATAAAACCAAAAAAAGTAACCTGAGAAGTACATCTTTCATTTATGAAACTAACTAAAAATTACAGGAAAAACGTTCTGTTTTTGTCTATGACAATTAATATCACACGTGAGCTTTCAGGATTTATGTTCTTGTTTTGGTTTTGCCGCACATCCATACAGAAGGAAGGTTCAACTATTGTTGTTTGCAGTTTACTTCATTACACAACACTGACTTTAAAAAATATATTTATATATATATATATCATTTTGTACTCGACAAGAACTTTAAATATAAAAAAAAAAACTAAAATGAAACCTAAACAAAAACGAAGCAAAATAAAATTGAATAAAAACTAACAAACTTGCTCTAAAAAAACTAATTAAAACTAAGTGAATTTAAAAAAAAAGATACGGCGAAATTACAAGCTAACCATTATGAGAAAAAAAAATCAATCACAACTATTATAAACCATGTTGAGTCAGAAATGCACAACAGCACTACACAAAGGTTTCCATTCACCGAATCGGTGTAGGCGTCCACGTTCTGTTCTTCATAAGCGTTGAGGAGTTTCTGGTCAAGAAAAAAAAAAAAAGCAGATTTTTAAAGCAAGAGTGCAGCACAGTACCACGTTGTGGGCAGCACTGAGGTCAACTGGATGAACAGGTAGCGTAAATAAATGTATGCCTCTGAGTAATGCTGCACTCTATGATTGAACATTTTGATGTCTCAATGTACAATGTTTAAATCTCTTTTGTTGTTTGTGACGGAAGCTACCTTCAACAGTTGCTTGAAAGTTTGTGTGTTGAAGTAAAGAGAGATCGAAACACTGAAGGAACCGGAGTTCCCTACCCCTGATCAAGAGTAATTTCCATTCACAAATCTAAGTGGTTCCACATCACATGTTAGCATTAAGCTAGCAGGCCTTCATGAAAATTGATGTGCGTTAAAAAAAAAAAATAAAATAAAATCCACTCCGATTAATTTTAATTGGTGTCAATAGTATGTGGAATTTAGAGATACGATAACCTCTATGGATGTCCCTATCAGCTTTTCTGGCACCAGAGTCTGATTTGCTTTTAAGTACTGTATCTGCTGACACAGATTTGCGATCCAATACCTCGACAATGCATTAAGGAAAAAAAAAAAAGCGTTCTGACGTGTCACTGTTGATAACCTGTCTGTCACTTTCTCAGCTCTCTCAACTCTTTAACGATTTCATTGCGCGAGGACGCTTCTTTATATCAGGCAAGGCAGACTTATTTAGGGGCATTTTTGGGCTTGCTTCTCCCTCCATTCAAGCTATGAAGACAACCCCACCACTCTGTCTCTATGCCTGCAGGAAAGCTTTGCGCAGCTGAGAACACGAGTCTCTGGGTGTGTGCGGGTCACACTTAACTACATCGCTAAAAAAAAAAAATTGGCTAAAAATTGGCATTGTGAAATATAAAACGAAGCTACTACTGTTCTTTTGGGCAAGATATTTGCACATTTGGATTATTTTGTAGCTTTGTGACCTTTAAATGCTCATAAAATAATAAAACCAATCTTTTTCACCCGATACAGGATCAGTTTAAAGTCACGCGAACAACCCCAATTTCCGATCGGCTCGAGACAACCCTAGTACTCTAATTTCCAGCTGATATCGTAAATATATACATTACCAGTAAAATACATAAATAGACAGTTGACAAGTTCATGGTTGACTAACTGTTTTTCCAAAGATTTAACAGGCGACCTTGCTCCAAAGACGGAACCTACCTTCAACAGCTTGCACTCTCGAGAGTCCGAAAAGGCCGGGAACATTTCTTCATACTTCTGCACAGCCAGCTAACACGGTGCGAGAAATGCTGAGTATTATTACTGTGACGGGAGGCACAGTTCAAAGCGTCAGTGCGCCGTCACCGCGACTCACTTTAGCATTGAGCATGTCCACGCAGAAATGACAGAGCGCCGCTTTGAAGAAGTGATCCTTGGCGCTGTATTTGAGCAGCGTGCTGTCCATGGCGTGAGTGCCCACCTTCAAAAGACAAACAAAACACTGCAGGGACCCAAATTCACGTTTGTGAAAAATGACCATTCAAGGTTGGCACAAAACCGTCGAACAGCAAACCAACATTCATTGCCAGAACTCATTTTGTATATTTTTTTTTCACACACACAAAAATAAAAAAATCAACTCACTCATAATGCAACTATTATCGAGGTACTATGTGTGTCATGCATGAAATTCCAAATATACCAAAAATTAGGCATAATCACGTTGTAGTTTAGGGCAGTACAATACATGCTGCAAGTGCAACTAAGGCATGCCTGCCAACTATTGGGGAATGGTGATGTTATAACATAAAACTACAGTCAACATCTGCATAATAATAATAACAATAATAATAATAATATATGTTATAAGAATAATACATTTTAAATAAAGTATAGTCACAGTTCGGCATCCACATTCACATTTTCTCAGATTTATTTATTTTCAATTTTTTTTTTAATAACGACTAAGTTGTTGAAGTATCATATCATACTCTCCGACGGTGTCAGGTGCGAGTGTGCATTTGTTTGCATGTATGAGAACACTTTTTAGTTTGGTTGGAGCTCGATGATGGGTCCCCTTGTGAGCCAGTGAGTGAGTGAGTGTATCGGCGTTTGAAGCTGACCTGCTCGTAGATTTCAATGGCTTTGTGGTATTGCTCCAGCTGGGCAGCGTAGGTGGCGACCTTTAAAAGGCACTTGTTGGCCGAACTGTGAAAAGTCAAGCAAAGCGCTGCTCAGTCTAAGGTGCGAGATGACAAAAAATAAACCCGATGATGACCACAGTAAGACTGCTGATGGGGTTTACATTCACCTGGTGGATTCTTCACCTTTGTAATAATCTGCGGCTTGTTCATAATGAGCGATGGCCTGCGAGGAAAAGAGGCACGTGGGTCATTTAATTTTGAATTTCACTTGATATATCTAAATGGTGTATGGAAATGTTTCACTGTATTATTATTCATGCAACTTTAGCATCTCTGAGAATAGCAAATAAAAAAAAACACAAATAGGCATAGTTGGCTGTATTTTGGATAATTTTCTAACAATTGTAACTTTTTGTCAAATATTTGGGGGATCCTATTTTAATTTCATCTTTTTTCAACACACTGTGCATTGTATTCTAAATGTTCAAAATGTTTACCATTTTTCTATGTCTGAATATTATTTTTCCTCATACTTTGGATTAATTTTGGCTCTTTTTAGACAGTGTAAACGTGACTGAGGTTTTGACTTTTGGCACCTTATCGATGTCCACCATCTCTGTCTCGTAGATCTCAGCGATGCTCATGTGATGTTTGGCCGCGATAGTGAAGCGGCCCTGAAGTGACCCAAAAAAAAAAACATTACAAATTAACACAGAAAAAACACATACAATTGGAACATGAAAAATAAATGCAAACTCACCATATCTGTGTATATCTCAATAGCTCGGTTTAGACAGTTTATGGCCTCTGTTGACACAAGGAATAAATAAAATACATTCACCAACCACAACATAATGACATCCCATACAACAATCCCCTGAATATTTTGAAAGGCGCTAATAAATAAAATGTATTATTATTATTATTATAATTATTATATTATTTATTTATTTTGTTGCAAAGATGGCACCAGAGGAGGGAGCCGTCTGCAAATGCTCTTCAAGAGCCTTGCTTTTTATTTTTTTTGTGTTTTGTTTTGTCACATGGTGTTTGTTGTTACATCGTGTGGACCTGATGTAGATTGTTTTTCAGCATTTTTTTGGCCACGACATTCGTCAAAGGAGAAGAATCTGTGCTTGGTGGTTGCGCCTTCTCGGCAGCACGTGTGTACCAGCACATTCATCTGTCTTACGTTTTCCTGTTTTAGGTTTACTCGATTACCAAAATAATTTATATTTGCTAAATGCCAAAACTAATAAGGGAATGATTTTTTTTTTAGACCATTTTCTTTTTTTTTCTTTTCAAAGTCAGAAGTTGATATACAGTACCAGTGTTTCTTAACCAGGGTTCGAGCGAACCCTAGGGGTTCGATGAATCAGTTTCAGGGATTCGACAGAGCCTCTGCCATGGAGGTTAAGACAAACCCGACTCAACATGTCATTTAGTTATGATTCGTCCGCTTGGCCATTACACGGCTGGTTCATTTTGTGCACAATTAAAAAACGTATACTTTATACCAGGGGTCCCCAACCTTTTTTGCCCCACGGACCGGTTTATGCCAGACAATATTTTCAGGGACCGGCATTTAAGGTGTGGCGGAAAAAATACAACAAAATAATATGGTATGAGCTGCATGAAAACTGTCGTGTTTTCGAAATATAATAATAAACACAAGGAGCGTATAATCTGGCCGCAACACTCTGATCGCTATGGTAATATTTAATGCCTTCAAATACGATACAATGCAAATTCAAAGTGCATGAAAATGACGACTCACCACAGCCCCGAGCTTGATTTTCTGCAACCAGACGGTCCCATCTCGGGGTAATAGGAGACAATGACACCTCAAGTGTGTGTTTTACGTGAAGTCTACTTCGTAATTTTGTTTTAGTCGCCGTTGCTGCAGAAAAGCCCCGCCTCACACAGGTAGCATGTCGGAAATAGCAACAGTGCTACTGTGGCGATCTCAGAATATTCAGCCATAACTTTAATCCAGTTGTCTCGAACGTACTTTTAAGGCCGCCATCATTTGTGATCTCCAGCAGTTTTTTTTTACTCATTTTGCGAGCTCCTGTGTTTTGTTTTGAAGTAATCGGTGGGGACCCCTGCTTTATACCGATACTAATTGTGTTTAAAACATGTTTTTTATGTCTTGAATTTGTGGGGGGAAAAAAAAAACAAACATTTTATTTTTCACTAATGAAGGGTTCAGTGAATGTGCATATGAACTGGTCTGGTTCAGTACCTCTAACAAGGTTAAGGTATATAACGGTGGTTGTTATATACAGTAAGGCTACTAAATAATTTGGGAAAACCTAGGTGATGATGTTCCATCATCATTACAACATTTGCCTTAACTGGAGGCACTGCCAGTGATAGTGCACAGAAACAAGTGCTAACAAACGACGCGGCCAAAATGGGGAGCTGAAAAAGGGTTTCGTGTCGCAAGATGTACACACAAAGTATAAATTTTGATAAAAGTTAGTGGAGCTGTTGCAGCAGGCTGCCAACTCTAGAGATTTCACTTTTGAAATCATTCAGACTCATAATTGGCCACAGTAGAGTCATTTTCATTTAGATGACGCAAAAGTATTAGAAATACTTCTCGGTGTCATGTCAGTGCAGTTCTACAATCACAATAATAAATCACATGTTCAAATGAATGCGTCTCAAAAGTCAGCAGTCCCTTTCTTTGTAAGGGCAGAATGTACAATGGTGCCATTCGGTGTCAATATGGGACCCTTTTACCTTGCGGGTCGGCTTTTTTGAAGGCGTTTCCGGCGTCTATGAAGTTGGTGGCCGCGTCGTGTTTGCTCTGCATCTGCAGGTGGAGGCGAGCCGCCTGGGAGAAGGCATTCCCCGCCGCTGCAAAAAGAGGACATTCCGCGTGAAAACAGAAATTAAGGAGCAAGAAAGGTGCTGGTGATAAGGAAAAATCAACATACCACACCAGTTCTTTGCCATCTTGAACATGTTGGCGGCCCTCACGTACATGTCACAGGCCTCTTCCTGCTTGGAGGAACCCCTGCACATGACATAAAGCAGATTTATAATTAATATCTATCATGACCTTCTTGAACAACTGACCTTTAATTTCATAGCATCTACCATCTTTCACATCACTGTAATGCCATTGTTGCTGGAGTTCTTCTCGCTTTGTCGCTCTCCATCATTTGCATTATACTGTTGTTGATCAGTATTACTGCACTGTTGCACACTTTCTTTTGCTTCATGACTGTTTACTTGGATCTAAGGACCTCTGCGCTCGTACTAGTGAATACTATGACAGGTAGGAGCCATGTCAGTCATTTGGAAGACTGAAAATTAGGTTCTGGCATAATTGCAGGCACACAACCCCCTCCTCCCAAGCATACAGCCCCTACCCCTGAGTTTTGAGAGCAATGGGCTGCTCCAGCCCATCCTGCTGCGCTTCTGGCACAAAGCCGCAACAACAAGTCAAATGAATAAAAGTAAGAGAAGATTTGATAAAAGCATCACTTCACTTGTCTTGTCACAGCTTTATTGTATATATTGTGGTACTGTCAAGAAGGAGTCTTGCATTTCTTTCGACTCACTGTATTCTTGGTTGTTAACACACAAAGTTAACATGGGATCCTATGTGTAAAGTCACCACGGCCGTGAGATTTTTTTTTAACGTAAACTCTGCCTTGGCTCAATAAAGGTTGAGAAACACTGCTGTAAACAAATGATGACTGACAGCTGCTGACGAGTACGGCCTATTCCACTAGATGGCGCAACCTGATGAACATTTTAGCCGTTTTTGGCACGAAATACCGGTAATTCATGTTAATCATTCACTATTCTTGTGGTGAGCCTTGTGGAAAAGCAAGCATGCTTCCTCACAACAAGCAATCCTCCATTTCATTCTGTGTGTATTGACAATTCGAACATCAGCGTCCACGCAGTTTTAAGTCGTTTAAGCAGTAACCACATTAGACGTAAATGCCTTAAAATTCTGCGTAACGACCAAACCACACATACAAAACAGACAGTGGGAGTAATAAAGAGGATTTTCATCAGATATTACTTGTCACGTATCGCCGCTACCTTTTCCGCTTAGTTGGCCCTTTAGCTAACGCGGCTACAGTGGTGCCACTCACCCGAAAAGTGCCCCAAAAAAAGACTGTGATGACTTCAACTTCTTTTCAGCCTCGGCCATCAAAGCCGTGGCTTCCTTCTCTTTGCCGCTGTTGTCCATGCTGGCGGCGAGTCTCTCAGTTTAGAGAGAGGAGGTGACAAAAAAGGGGAGAAGTCAACAAACTTGTAGCATAAGCGGCAGCCGTTGATTTGATTCGAGTAGCCAGTTCCCTGTCACGTGACATGGAAACACCGGAAACGCTCTCTCAGCGCGTTTAGTGACTGCCAGTAAAACTGAAATGTCACCAAAACTTTGGAACATTATTTCACATTGACAGTGCAGAAAATGCACAAACAAATTAATGATGATGACATAGTGACTGTTTCGGCCCATTACGTCAGAATATAAGCAAAAATGTTGATAATTGTTTTCTAAAGTAAAACCAAATGTTTGAAAATGGTTTATTTTGATTCAACATCAGTCTGCTTTAACGGAGGACGACAGAAATCTGAGAATATTTACTGTCGAGACGTTGAAATATCAAGAATTTTGACATTTCTCTAAATTAAACGAGGTATCTAAATGATTAATCAACTGTCAAAAATAATCAATGAATTAGAAAATAGATTAGTTGTCGATTAATCGTTGCACATTACAAATAATGATTCAATTAAAAATCATTTGCACAAAATAAAGTTAATTGAAAGTGGAATCTCAATAAAAGTTTTAAAGCAAATACACCAGTCCGTAACTTTTTTGTGTACAGTATAGGGAAAAGAAAACAAATTTTCCCCCATGCCACTACTAGAAGAAATGATACAATGCTGACTAAGCCTATCGACTCCTGTAACATTTTGTCATATTTTCCAGTATTTTATCTTTTATATTTGGTGTCGACTGGTGACATTCCCACTCTGGCGAACAGAAAATGACCATTGGACATGACACAATTTACTTTGCAATGAACAGAGCGTGGCCGTTTGTCCCCCATTTATTAAATGATAACTAAACATATTATTTTGCGTTTCTGTTGCAGAAAATATTCATACAATTACCTCTTCAAACAATCCATCTTTTTTAACACATCTACTAGAATAAACGTGTTCTCGAAGCACACAGTGGGGAGGCGGGGCTATGTATAACTATGTCGACGGCTCTGTTGTTGCAATGCATAGTTTCAGCCTTGGGGGTGACAGAAGCTACGAACTGCAACTTTATCGATCAAATGCAAATGGATTGTGCTTAAAAGTTAAATAGAACGGAATTATACTCAACAGATGCACTATATTGGATTTGAAAAAAGCCCTTGGAAAACGATGCACAGATTGAATGTTTATTTCAGTGATTCCTTTTTGTACCATGAGAGGACACTGCATACCACTAGTGGTACTTGTACCACGCTTTGAGTCTCTACACTCAAAAATAAGATCCTTTGGATTTACCGGAACTTAATTTGAACATGTACATCAGTTGCACATGATTCAAATTGTGGTACAGATGTCATTTTCTTGTGTTTTCCTCCAAAATGAACAAAAAATAAGATTTAGTTTAATACAGTCTGATCATTTGCAACCAAAAAGAAGCACTTTTTTTCATTTTTGTTTGTTTTACTTTTAAGTAAATGCACGAGTCATTTACTTAAAAGTAAAAAAGTAAATACTTTGAGAAGTGCAACTCTAAAAAGTGAAAATAATTTTTTTACTGTCGACTGTACACATTATAGTATTTTTTGATAATTTGTTTGGTTAAAAAAAAAAAAAACACCCCGGTACACAAAAAAGTTTCCCTTATTTGTTAAATTGCATTGTGCTCGTACTGAGATGAAAAAAAATGTCTGAGCATGGCTTTAAACCCAGCTAATTATTGAGGGGGTAATCAGGACTCCACTCACTATATGTCCTGCATGACCAAAACCAAACAATATAAGGAAACGTGCGAAATTAACTAATGATGTATTACCTGAAAAAAATATACCTGACGTTTGTTTTTGTTTTTCAGGTTGCAAAGACAATTTTTTTAATGGCAGTAGCCAGAGGTTTTAGGCTGCCACAAGACAACACATTGACTATGAATCATTCTCGGACACATAACATAACATTAAAAAATATATGTCTGTGGAATATTTTGCTTCTCCAAATCCATTGCATCATCGTTGATAATGTGCCATGGTTCACATTTCTTCATATTGCTGTTCTCCTTGTTTTTTTTCCCTACCTGGTAAGTCCCCAATACCCCAGTTGATCAAAAGTTCAGCCGCACTTGACTGTATCTGTTTCTATTTACATGTGTTTTGAGTCGTGTCATCGTCGTTGGAGGTTGAAAAAAGTAATGAGCCCATTTAGACAAAGTAAGGGTTTGGAAGAACAAATATCTGTTTTCAAAAGCAGAAGGTAAAAGTATGAAGTCATCAGAATAAAAAGCTCAAGTCAAGTACAGAAACCTGAAAAAAACACTTAAAGTAAAGTAGCTAATTATTTATACTTTGTTAATTCACATTCCTGGGGACTTGAAGCATTGCGATTTGGATTGGAGTTGACTTCTTCACAATTTAGTTTTCAATCGGCCTGCCATGCATGTTTTGGAATGTGGGAGGAAACCGGAGTACCCGGAGAAAAACCACAGAGGCCCGGGGACAACATGCAAACTCTACACAGGGAGGTGGGAGATGAAATTGAACCACTGCACTGTGAGATCGACGTGCTAACCACTGGACCACCGGGCCGCGCGGGCCCTTGGTTTCAGCATTTAAATCAACCTGGTTGTGGTTAGCAGTAAAGCAGTTTTCGGTTTGGCATGCTATTACATAAAGAGTAAGATGTACAATCTTAAGATATACAGTACATGCATCTTATCAAAGAGTGAATACAGCCCATTTACCGGTACATTCAATCCACTCCAATGGATAATTTGGATGCGGAGATGACAAACTCGTTTTTCCCAAAGGCCACATTGTAATTTTTGTTTTGTTTAGAGGGCTGTTGCACCACATTGCGTATTATTGCCTCATCATAATATTACATATCAAGTCAACTTTAAGTCAAGTCAACTTTATTGTCAAATGTGCTGTATGTGCAACATACAGCACACATGAAATTCTTTCCTGTCAACCACAGGAGAGAGAGGAGCCGCTGCGGTACCCGCGCCACAATCAACAGAAAAGTTAACATAAAATGACAAAATAATAGAACACAACACATAAGACACAGGCAGTCATGCAATCTTAACCACTTTTTCTGCATACACTTTGTTGTTTGAAGCAGTTATAGATGAAAGAGGAGAGAATCAATGTGTCCTTTCACCAGTGGATCAAAGACGTCATATACACAACAAATTGATGGGTAACTGGTTTTTAAATCTCAAGTCACTTTCAGGAGCAAGTACTTTTTGTTTCATTTTTGTTTGGCGATGTGCAGAGATTTGTTTGTCCCCGAACGTAAAATATGTGCCTTGGCTCAAAAAAGGTTGGGAAACACTGCACTAGTCCTCCATGCTGCCGTATTGCCATTTCCTTCCCCTTTGTTTGTTGCTTGAATAAGGTCCTTTAAAAATTACTTATTTTCATGAATAACAAAGAATAAAAAATGTCAACAGAATCCTAGAAAAAAGGGGGAAATACTATCGCGCGGGTCGGAAATCACAACTGTACCGAGTGTTTATTTTGCATCAGGCAGAGCGGTGGTCGCCTCGGTTCCTAGCCCGTAGTTGGGTCCTGTGCGGCAGCCCGTGCGAGGCTGTCCTGGAGACCCCGCACTGCTTGCACCTCTATCGTCTCGGGTGAGTTTGTTACAATGTAGCAATTTCTCTATTAATCGCAATAACTGCAACAAAGCTGCATTTATTCACGCACCGTGTGGGCCGCCGCTTATTGCACGGCGGGCGGCGTCGACTCGCCACACTGCCGCACGGCCCGCCAAAAACGGGGGGGCTCCTTTTTCCCAGCGAATTCCCAAGCATACCCCCCTCCATCCAAGAATATTCCAACATTAACTCATTTATATACACACACACGCATATATAGCTCGCTGGGAGACATAGGTTGTCTCTCCGCGCCTCTTGCTGTCTTTCACGTCCCAGGTACGAGTAGTGTCTCGGGCCGAGTGTGGACGTGCAAGCCCGGGCGTTTAAAGCGCCTCCGCTGGCGGTTTGTTTTGAATGTCAAAGGCTGTCGAGCTAGCGATACACGTCCGAATATTGTTGGTAGCCTAGCTTGGGCTAGCAGGCTAACCAGCTAAGGCTAACCAAACGGAGCCCGGGCGATGTGACAAATTTCGGGCGTTACAGCTGGAGGCTGGTACTTTTATTCGTCACGCGAGCACCTTGTGCAGTTTTTGGGGTTGTTATCGTAAGCAGAACGTGACGGGATAAGTGTTATTACGCAGGCGTAGATGCTGAGGGTGGACTAGTTAGCATATAGCTCCCAGCGTCTCCCATTCATATCCTGCCCAGTGGCGCCGCTAAATGGCTAATATCCGCTGTCTTTGTAGAGAAGGCAAGTGGGTGCTATGTTTGGATTCTGGGGGTACCGTGCGGATGGTGGATTATTGTGTGTGATTATGCCAGGGTCGTCCCGGGGCAAGACGACGAGAGACCGCAAGCAAAAGGTGCTCGAGATGCGTGGAAACCGCGCGATTTCAATTTGTTGACTTTTTACCTGGACGCTGTGCTGCTAATTTGTCGGAAGCATATTAGATTATACAAGATGTTATAAAACTACAAATACTTGTGTAATATGTTTGGTGTGTGTGTAAAATGTCAAATAGTAATTGATACATGAGACGAGCATTATCACGGATCATTTACAAATCATTCCAGTGACAAAAGTATCATTTAACCTGAGACTACAGTAATATGAAGAACGTGATGACATTTTAAATCCAATTTCTTGCCATTGTTTTGATGCAAAGACAAATGGGTGGAGATTTCTGGTGTGACCTTATTTTGTTCAACTTGAGTTTCAAAGTTTGATAACTTTTCTAAACTTTTACCGTGTTTTCATAAGGTTGTTATCATTGCAAACTTTGCTAAACATAGAAACGGACAACGTAGAATAATGATGAATTTAATCTAATGAAGCCAATGGCCCAGGTTTGTGAAATAATGGCCAGGATTCAAATATTTGCCCCAAATGACTGGTCAGAGGAACATCAAGGCACCTGGCCATCGGTGGGTCCAAAAACGTGTCGACAGTTCTACCAATTTACATCAAATTAGGCATAAGCATAGAAAAAAAAACATAATAAAGAGGTGCCTGTGGGTTTGGAAAATTGCCATACATATGTTAGAGGGGGACTTGTCAACTATAAATTAGGGAAATCTTATACGAATAGTTTAACATGTGTACTTGCTCTTTCAAGAAATTTGGATATCACAATTAAAACCAGGGCACGTGTTCTCATCAGCAGTGGTACATATTGGTAAGGTGAATGATGCAAACAACCTAGTAATCATTTTTTCCACTGACCGCTAATAACTTCCTGCTTCTCCAAATTGAGTAATCCCTCAGTTATCGTGGGGGTTACGTTCCAAAAACAACCCGTGATAAGTGAAATCCATGAAGTAGTCATCTTTATTTTTTTACAACGATTACACACCATACAATAGTGTATTGAATGAAACGAAAGATTTAACGTTTTTTCAGGCCCAGCATGATGTCTTACAAACAACTGACATTTTTTAGAAATGCTGTCCAGAACATTTCAATGATGTTGTGATTTTTGTCCTAGACAAAATTTAGCAAGGTGTACAGCGATGAGGCGCTGAGACTAAGGGGGAAAAAAAATCACTGTTACTCCTTTGGCTCAGCACAGCCTCGCTTACATCAAGCTGAAGCGTACTTTATGCGTTATACAGACCAGGCTAGTGAGTCCACATTCATTCATAGGCTAGATCATGTTACGTGCATTGTCCCTCGGGACAGCATGTACCATAATTCTTGCTTATGTTCCACTGCTGAAACACGGTTGCGAAAGCCTCACAGATCACCGTTGCTGTGTGTGTTCTCGACAACTTTTGTGAACGCAGTTTCATCTTTTGCATCTTGTTATCCTCGTCCACCCGTCGCGCCATCTAGCTCAGCAGAGTCAGTGGACTAATGTCAGTGGTCCATATGTCCGTGTTAGAGCTGATGTCCCGGAGAAGCAACAAGTGTAGCCACAACATTGTAGAGTTCTGGCAAACACCTTTCTCCAAAGCAGTGTCAGCTGGAAATAAAATAAAAGTAAATCGTCTTGCAGCAGAGGCTTGGTGCTCAATCCTTTTAAAGTGAGAGTAACCGGGCCAATTTTGGTGTATATGTGGCGTATCTTGTTGTCGCCTCACTTTATTATTATTATTTTTTAAATCGCACCAATGAATGTGGCATAGAACATTTGTAATAATCAAAAGAGCACAACTGTAGGATTCAGGGGCGGGGGGTAGTGTTATTTTTACAAGAAGTTGGAATATGATGAACACAGAAAGTTCTTTATTTTATTTTTGTCTTGTCATCAAATATTTTCCCCCGCTTCTGCTCATTTATGAATTCTGAGGCGGCAAGTCACAGAACAGTAGAGTGTATTTCTTTTGGTCTCTCTGTGATGACTGACACCATTTCATGTCGTCCTAAATAGTTGTCATGGATGATGAAGACGGCAGGTGCCTTCTCGATGTGATTTGGTAAGTTGTTACCAAGAGATTGCACATCAGAAACACTTTTTAATTTTTTTTCCCCCCCTCTCATGATGCACTGTTGTGAATGTCACTCTTGTTTTCACCGGCAGTGACCCTGAGGCTCTCAATGACTTTCTTCATGGATCTGAGACCCATGTGAGTATGACAAGTGGCGGAGGCTTTTTTAATCTGCTGCCCCAACGATGACGATGATGATGATGGTGCTGGTAGATAGTCGGGAAACAAAATCTGGATTTACAGTGGGGGTCAAACTTCTGTGTTGAGAATTACTGACTGTTAATGTGTACTTTTAACACTTAAACTATCGATTCATTCGGTGCCAGCCATTTTCAGACCCCTCTTTACCCGAGAATGTAAAAAAATCAATAAAAATAAAATACATAAAGAGGATTGAATGCCTGATTTCTGAGAAATGTATTTTGTATTCAATTTATTTTGCATTTTCTATACATGTTATGCTTGCAGTTGTTTTGTGTTGGAAATGTTTACAATGTGTAAACGTGTATTTTCATGAGTTTAAATGCCTTTAGCTGGAGGGGTTTCTCTATTTTGCGGCCTTTCCCTTTTGCGGGTGGGCCTGTAACGTAACCATCGCAATGAATGGGGGTCACTACCAATTTTACAAATATAAACATTACATACCGTGTGTGCCGGCCTTGAATGACCCCCATCGTTTTAAGTGTTGAACTCTGAATCTGCACATAACAGCTACTGTTCATAGCAGGCTATTGGTAGATGCGTCTTACGGTCACATCCCTTTTTGCTTACTCTTTTCCCTCCCGCTGTTTTGGCTGTTTGCTTTTTGAATGCACTGTTTATGGGTTCAGCCTGTCCTATCCCTTTTGACTCACAAAAATGAGAAACTAACGCTTCCCAAGCCTGGAAAAACCCTGTCATTGTGCCTCGCTTTCCCTAAACTTTTGCCTGGTTCCTGACGATCTTGGTTCTCTTTTCTATGTTCTGTCCTCTACCTTGCCACTGGCTTCCCCTCCTCCCCACCACCTCATCCTCTGATGTTCTGTTTCCCTGTCCTGTTGGCTTTTGCCTGCTGGTTTTGGGGCGCCTTGGGGATTCTGTCTGTCCTATCCTGGGTGGGCGTGTGTCTGTAGTTGGACACTGACGACCTTTTGGATGGTTCGGGTGATCCCACCACCTCGTTCTTCTCTTCCACTGGGGTGAGTAAAATCCCCCAATCCCTTTCTTTCTTGTTTTCTATCTGTCTGTGTGGCATGCAAGTCCGAATCCTCAACCCCCTCGCCCCTTCTGTGCCTGTCCCCTCCACTAACACACCTTCAAGCTTTGATTTGCTCGTTTGTGCATATTCACGTCTGAGGAAATAGATGGAATTTGTTGATTTGATATGGACAACACAAAAACAGTGGACAGAATAGGGAGGTGCATTTGGAGCTTTAGCTCTAGGGCGAATTCTCAACTATTGTCCACAGAAGGCTTATTTGAAGTTAGGAAATATACAAGAAGGTAGATGGAATACAAGAAAATAACCAAGGTACAAGTGGGTAGATTAAATCCAACAAGGCCCTAGTAAATTGAATTTTGACAGGTCAATTTTTAAATTTAGTGTCATGGCAGTTATTTTCAGTATCGGGCATCAAAATGACCATGAAAGCTTTGTCCAGACTTAAGGCATTTCTCTACGTCCTTGGGAAAATGTTAGGCTTGACAGAGCCTCAAGTAGCGGATCCGTCCATCAAGTTAATTATGAGATGTACGACCGAACGCCTCTCTTCACCCTTTCTAGACACCATAATTTATTAATGGTGGGAAGAAGTGGGAATCCAAAAATAAGTTTAAAAAAAAAGGAAAATGGGAGAATGAAGTCTCATATTTGTTTTCTCCCTGCTTTCAACGCAGATGCATATTACACAAAGCTAATTTGTGTTATCAATGTATTTTACATTGAAATCAGCTGTATTCACTGTGTAATGGTAAATATGTGCACCTGATGACTGAAGTGTGACTGTTAATCAGACCCATTTCAGTGGAATTACCTTTTATTGTCGATCATTAGCTCAAAGCAAGACTTTGAATGTCCAGGATTGTCAGCATGTGGCCTATTAAAAACCAAGTAATAACAAATAGCTCAATTGTGAATTTGCTCTTGATCAAACAAAATGGACCAAGCAGCCAATGTAGATCAGTATAAATCAGAAATCTGAAATGCAAATTAGAATATGCGGCCGTCCATATTTTGTACCAAGCCTACATGAAATTATCCTTTTGTTTACGCCTCGATTCCAGGGCCATGTTCCAGAGGTCCAGCCTACGGTTCAGCTCTCGGCTAATGAAGCGGCAGGCCTGCCCAGAGTCAGCGTTGACCTGGACTTCCTGGAGGATGACGACATCCTGGGCGGATCCCCAGACGGAACAAGCGGGAGCAATGGCATTGGGACGAATCACGAGCCCTGCGACATCTTGCAGCAGAGCTTGGCCGAGGCTAACATCACGGAGCAAAGTTTACAAGAAGCCAATGCAGAGCTGGACCTGGAATCATTTGGGATTCCAGGTCTTCCTCAAGTGGTTCAGACGCTGCCTGATGCCAGCCTCTCGGGAGCAGGGGGCGCGGCCGTTGGTGTAGGCATCAGCGTCGGGGGGGCAGCGGCGGCGGCGATCTTTCCTGGGTCGGCCCAAAGTGCCACCGCGACTCCCCCGAACGCCACCGCTGAGATGCTGGGGTCTGTGCTGGCTCAACAAGGTCTTCAGCTGCAACCACAGGTGATGAATAAGGCCATCAGTGTTCAGCCCTTCATGCAGCCCGTGGGCCTTGGGAATGTGACGCTTCAACCAATTTCAAGTCTTCAAACTCTCCCAAACGGCAGCCAGTCTGGACATTTGGGGATCGGACAGATTCAGGTTGTGGGTCAACCCACAGTCATGACTATCAATCAGTCTGGGCAGCCCATTCTGGCGAAAGCCATGGGTGGATACCAGCTGCATCAGTCTGGGCCGGAGGTTTCGGGGACGACAACTCAGACGGGGCTCGGGGCGTCAGGACCTGGACTTCTCATACAAAGCAACAAAACCACTTTGGGATCTCCAGCGTTAAATGGACCAGCTGCGGTTGTTAGCAGTGCAAACAGCACCAGTAGCGGCACCATGACCGCACCTGCTGGACTTTTAGGCTTTGGAAGTACGCCCCTGAGTTCAGGAATGGCACCCCAATCTCAAACTCAAGGCCAAATCATGCACAATGTGATTATCCAGCGGACACCAACACCCATTCAGCCGAAACCTCCACAGAGTGGAGCCCTGCAAACTAAACTTTTCAAGCCACAGCAGCAGCAACAGCCGCCGCAACAACAACAACAGCAACAGCAGCAGCAGTCGACACCCCAAAACCTGCAGAACGACACCACCAAGGCCCTCGGGTTGCAACAAATTCCCGTTTCTGCACCTCAGAATGTAACTTTTCTGGCTGGAAAACCAGGCTCAAACGTTGTACTCAGCACTCAAACCACAACGCAAGGCTCGCAGTTCCAGCAAACGTTGTTCAAGCAACAGGCGGCACAAGCGGCAGGCAAGCCGCTCAGCGTACACTTATTAAACCAATCAGGCAGCATCGTTATTCCCTCACAGACAGTTCTGCAAGGGCAGAACCACCAGTTCCTCCTGCCACAGTTGCAAGCGGGCGGGCAGATCCTGACCCAGCACCCCGGGGGCCACATCATAACCAGTCAGGGACCTGGGGGGCAGCTCATTGCTAACCAGATTTTAACAAACCAGAACATCAACTTGGGCCAAGTGTTGACTTCCCAGGGACATCCCGGGGCAGCCCACATTCTATCGGCACCCATTCAGCTTCAGCCTGGCCAGATGGGCACGCCCACCCTGTTTCAGATGCCGGTCTCGTTGGCCCAGACGCAGAGCCAGGTGCAGACCCACACCGTCTCAGGACATGGCCCGACGGTCATCCAGGGCATGCCCATCCAGAACTCCTTGACTATGCTAGGTCAGGTGGAGGGCTTGAGCCCCACGGTCAGCCTTCAGACAGCTTTGCAAGCCCAACCAGGTGGAGCCCCTAGCAGCAGCAGCATCAGCAGTAGTAGTAATAGTATTAGTAGTAGTACCAGTAGTAGTAATAGTAGTGGTAGTAGTGGTAATAGTAGCAGCAGCAGCACCGGAGCAGCCACGATAACACAAGTGCAGCCCGGAGAGTGCGTCACTGTGCTGGGGAACTCCACCAATCAGGTTGCCCAGCAGGCCTCTATCCTCTCCATGCAGCAAACTCCTTCCGCAATCACCACCGTATCGTCCTCCGCTCCATCCGTGTCCTCGTCTTCGCCGGTGACCGCGGTTGGGCTGGTCTCCCACCAGGCTCAGCACAGCCCAGGAAGGCTCCTGTTCACCAACCAGGGCTCCAGCATGATCCTCAGCCAGGAGTCTCTGCAAATGTTCCTGCAGCAGGTCAGTGTGTTCCTCTTGGCACGCCTGGTCCTGAAACATTCATTAACATTCTCATAAAGTGGGCTGTGTTGGGAATCACTCCTATCAATTAGAAAGTGTTGTGCCCTGATTAGTGAGTTTGCTGTTTTGTAGCGCTCTTCGAATGTGTCGTTAGCATAGGCACAATCCTTCACATTTTGCCCTCAATCATCTTGAAAAGTAATGAGCAACAGATGGTCTCTGAAAAAGGAAGACATCCAGGATGTGTTGTGCCAATACAGTAAAATCAATTTTTGGTATTAGAAAAAACAAATAATAATGAATTGTGGGTGGGTTCGGTGTGTGTGTGTTGAAACACAGAGTAATGCGGCATTGTAATTTTGTGACAGCATTGATATAATTACCTAACAGTGAGGCTGAGTAGTGCTTGCCAAGTGTTTTTCATTTGACTGCTGACTGAATTATATACCGAAATTTCCAGACAACAAACCGCACCTAATTAAAAGCCGCAGCAGGTAAATATAGCCATAAAAACTACTTTGTACCTACAGTACATTAGCCGGTTCGGACGAATAGCCGCGGGTGTCCATGCTGTTAAATGGGATATTATCAGTATTATAAACCCACCGGTTAGATGGTCTTCCTAAAACAACAATGCTGAACACTGTTATAGATACACAGCGACCCAGAACCTTTCTGAGACTCTTCTTGTCACAAGTGGCAAATTCACAAATGATCTTCGACCGGGGTCACACTGCATGGATGGCTGTTTTCATTGCACTCGTTCCCTATTTCTTATAAACTCAAATCTTATTTTGACTGTCAATTCCTCCTCCAAAAAGCCATGCGCACCGCCAAGCACAAACGCTTCTGCGTTTCTGTCGCTCTCACTCCTCCCGCAGCTGTAAATTGTGTCGTTCCAACCGCAAATAGCTGATGACTACTCCGTACGAGGGCCGACTGTGACACTTTCATTGGTTCTTTGTGACGTGTTTGGTAATTTCATTGGTCAGATGGGGCAAGAATGGGTAAATCTATTGACGGTTTGAGCCCGTCAGTAAAAACCCATAAATAAAATGCATTTCATTAAAAGCCGCAGGCCTCAAAGTTTGAGAAAGAAGTAGCAGCCTCATTGTCCGGAAAATATGGATGTCGACTATTTCAAAATCCGTTGCTCGTGATTAGGGAGTCGGGAATAAGTACATGATTCCGAACACAGCCTTGGTCTGACCTCTCTGGCTCACCATTCTGCTTCTCATCCAACCCCCTGTCATTCCTTCTCTCTTCTCTCACCCCGGGAACGGTAAACTATTAGCCGGAGAACAGAGAGGGTGAATCGACCCCCTCTGCGGGGGTCCCTGCATCTGTAATCGTCAGCAGCGCCTGCGTCACAGCTCCGGCCCACACTGTCCATGACAGCCAATTAAGTGATTCATTGGTGGGTCAGAGCCCCCCAGTGGTAAAGCAGGTAGATGTGCCCTCTACGTTAAGCCCCCCCCCTCCACTTGCTGCTGCCGCCCCCGGATCTGCCGTGCTATTTGTAGTTTGGCTTCCATGTCGCTCCAGTGCACAAACGGCTAACACGCTTGCAGCTTGTGTGTGTTACTAAAACTGCTTTGCTGTGTGAAAGCATGAGACGTTTTGATCATTACTCTCTTGTAACGTTCCGTATGATTGGCAAATCAAATGGCTTTCTTTGAATTGAAGTCAAAGGGGATGCTTATTTTATATACAGTGAACTATAGGCCGACCGATTCATGAATTTTATCGATTTCATCTAAAGAACAAAGTTGACTTATAACGGGACAAAAATATTTTTTTTTTGCAAAATAGCGTCCCCATGAATCCGGAAACCGTGACGATGTACTGTAGTCTTCATTTCTCATTTAAAAAAGTAAATACTATCAACTATCCCACAGAATAATGTCCTTGCGTCGTTTGTACACTAGAGGAAACTTTGACTCCATTTCATCCAATTCACATCTTTCTTGAGAAAATGAAATGGTTGTGCCTGTCTCGCACATGACCATGGAGTGCCGTGTTAAATTCTTGCTGCCAAAGCTCCTGAGTATTAAAATTAAAATCTTGAATTTGGGGTTCAGGGTCAGGGGGGGAAATCAAAGAATCTCAAAATCAATTATGTCAAACGATAATGATAATATCCATGTCAAATCATCAAATGCATGGTGTTTCTTCTTTCTTTACTAACAATAATCAAATCCTACCAACTCACTCCCTGTTACTGTGGATAACTAACAGGTCAGTCAATCAGATCTGATAATGATTCACGAAACCAAGGCGAAGTGTCCCTTGCTAGTCGCATCTTGAAGGAACTGAAAAGTGACGTTCTTCATCCCTAAAGTAGTCCGATGACTCCAGAATTCTGATCACTCAAAATATCATCATCATAATTTGTTTGGGTTTTTTTTTTTGTTTTTTTTTTTTGTTTTTTTTTGGTGGGGGGGGCGTATTTGCATTGGTGCTTTGACTTATCATTGTGCTTTTTAATCTTTTACATTTATTTAGTTTGTTTTTTCATTCAATCAAGTGTGTGTTGGAGGTCTATTATGAGCAAGAACTGTATTTTATAACATTGATGTTTTGAAGAAGACAATATTCTGGGAGCTTTTTGGAACATAAACACATTCACCAGCCACAACTCCTTCTCCTACTCCTAATGTATACACAAAATTCAGTACCCCTTTGGAAACTCTTTCCTCTCCAAATGTCTACTTTTCCCACAATTCCACATTTTCCATGGAAGGAAATCTATTAAAATGACTGAGACAGTTAACAAATTGAATGCACCCTTTAAAAAATATATATTTTTCAACCAATTCAAACAGTCCAGCTTCAAAATAATTTTCAACTTCATTCCCACTTTCTCAAATATTCCATATTGTTCAATACGACATTCTCGATTTTACTTGACAAAGTTCCCTAATTAGTAGGTGCGTTAATCAAAATGAATAACTCTGTTTAACTCATTGTTTTTTTCAGCCTTGTTGTCACTCCTTTCCGCCCAAATTATTCTTTTTATTGTTCTCTCCATCCTTTTGTCCTTATGGAATTTCCATCTTTGTCAATTGATTCAACCCATTGCAATGTCAAATTGTTCAACTGTTTTTCCACAATCTCAAAATCCCCACACTTTTCAGTATTGCACGTTTTATATCTTCAAACTTGAAAATGTTCAGCGCATTCACATCATTGATGCAAAAGTCACCAAATTAAGAGATATTTTTACCTCGTCATTCCACATCACTTAACCACATCAAGCAATTCCAACACCAAACTGCTAAGCTCAGGCAAATACCAATATTTCCATAATTTCACAAAAAAATCCCCCAAATCCAGAGGTATTTTACCTTACGTTTTAAGTTTACCCCCTCTTTCCTCGGTTCTTGACCGATTCAAACAGTTCCATCCGATTGTCACCTTTTACATTCAACAATTCAATCAAATCTACATTTCAGTTCAGCATCAGCTCGTCGGCTTTTTACAGAAATTGCACTTTCTAGTTCGTTTTGTGTGATCCAAATAACACCTGCCCAATTTGTATATTCCACGGCCACAGGTACCCTCCAGTGGACACCAGCAGCCCTTGAAGATCCAGGGGTTGTCTCCCTCACCGGCTTTGACCAGTCACGCTGCAGCGCCCCCCGTGGCCAACAGCCCCCAGCCCTCGCAGTCGCCGCTGACTCTGAGCCAACACATCCAGTCGCCGCACCATCAGCAATCACGTCCTCCCTCGCAGCCCCAGCCGGCGTCACAAACGCCCTCCCGCTCCTGCACGCCCTCGTCCCACCCACCGCCCCTCTTCATTGTCCACAACCAAGTAACAGAGTCTCCCTCGCAGCCCCAAGTGGCCCAGCCGCAACCGACCCAAATCCAAGTGCAGCTCCTGCCCCAGCCGCGGCCTGCCTCCCAGCCGGCGCCCTACCAACATCAGGAGCAGCCCCCCATGTCGCAGTCGCCCAAGCCCCCGCTTGCCCACCCTTTCACTGTCCCTCCCGCCGGTGCACCGGCCCCCGCTGTGTTAAAAACCCAAGTTCCCGTCCACAGCCTGACAGCGGATCAGCAGCAGCACCTTGCGCTGTTGGGATCGCAAATCCAGACGCTGTCGGCCATCAGCCAGCCCTCGCTGAAGCAGAAGCAGTTGCTGGAGAAGCTCCACCAGGTATGTGCTGACCTTCAAAGTTCTTACCTCCAGACAACACAGATGATGCTGCTCGACATCACATATTTGATTTCATGTTTTTCTAGTCAACATTTTGTGTAACTGTTGAATAGCATTCACAAATTTCACCCGATGACGACACCTTGAAGATGTTCTTCCTCAACCAATTCCAACCATTTCAGCATCAAAATGTTCAGCCCAGTCAGGACATGTAGATATACAAAGTACACTAATAGTAATGGTATATTTGAATAGCTTAAGTAATACAGTTCTGACAGCTCTTTCATCCATGCATTGATTGGTATCATGAGTGCATGTCACAAAAAGGTAGACACTGAGCTTTCCCGTGACTTGTGTTACTTCCTTCAGGCTTGTGGTTGGGGAAAATGGCCTCCCGGATGGGGGCTCATGTTTCACCTTTTGCATTGAGTCTCACTGTTCTGCTGTCCTTGGCCGTGTGCTTCCAGATCCAGCAAAGCATCCTGCTGCAGGTCAAGCAGCCCACCCAGGCTCAGGCCCAGGCTCAGGCCCAAGCTCAGGCTCAGGCTCAGGCTCAGGCTCAAGCTCATGCTCATGCTCAGGCTCAGGCTCAGGCTCAAGCTCAAGCCCAGGCCCAGGCTCAAGCTCAGGCCCAGGCTCAAGCTCAGGCTCAAGCTCAGGCTCAGGCTCTACCACCTCCCAACAGCCAGTTTACCGTGCAGCAAGACGTGCCTGTCGAGAAAGCGGTGATCACCTCATCGGTCTGTGCTGCCGCACCCGCCCAGCTTTCCTCGGCATTGCAGCCCACCTCTGTGCTCATTACAAGTCCTGCTACAGGTAAGCCTCCAGCACATCCTCGCAATGCGAGGTGGCAGCATTCTGGCTTTTCTAACAGTCTGCCTCGTCTTGATTGCAGCCTCAAGTGACTTACACGTAGTCTCAGGAGTCCAGGGACCTGCTGGAGCCAAGGTGAATCAGACGATCGCCCCTGTGAGTCTTACTCAGCCTGCACAGGTGAGCGTTTTTTTTTTAAAATTTCATATGAACACAGAATCTCACATCAAGTGTGTGTGCAGGTGAAGGGGGTGGAGGGGGGTCTTTCTGGAATATATCCCCTGTGATGATGAAAGAGAGTGTTCATGGTATAACATCCTTTCCTTTTTTTTAATACCACAGATTCACCCAAAGTCTGGAGTGATCAGCTCAGGCGGAGGGATGACTCTTAGTAAAAGTGGCATGCAGATCCACGTGTTAGGCACCAATGTCACCCAAATCCCTGCTCCACAGCCGCCAGCCCCTCTACAACCTCAAGTAAGTGAAGAGTTGTATTTGTATGGACGCCCTTTCACCATGCGCAACAGTTGGGTTCGGTGCAGGCCAAAGATTGTCTCAGTTGTTTAATTTCACACTTGGCTCTTCAGAGACCCAACTATTTGTGTGGAAGCAGTGAAAAAGCCAATTTTACATAATGGGTCCACTTTAAGTGCTCGTTTAAAGGTAATAATCCTCTTTCATCTCACATTGCAGACAGCAGCGAAGATGCCTTTCAGTGCGGAACCGAGCAAAGAAGCCAGGTTTGTGGCACTCATACCGTCAATTTTCCTCTTTCAATTCCCTGCCCTATTTATCTATTTCTTTCTTTCTTTATGTATTTATTTATTTGGGATTTGAATTAACATTTATTCCCTTCCCTTTGCAGGTTGCTGGAGCAATTGAGGAAACATCAAAGCTCGGTGGTTCACCCAAACTACAGCGCACCTTTCTACTCGTTTGAGGACACGCTGCACCGACTGCTGCCTTACCATCTCTACCAGGGAACTGCCAACTCCTCTCAAGATTATCAGAAAGGTAACAAGAGCCTTAAAGCTCATTGCCTTTAAAAAAAAAAATGCATTGGTGCTTTGACTTCTGATGTTAATTAGTTCCGTGTCCAAGCTTCAAACTCAATTTACTAGCCTATCAAATAGGGGAGGGTGCTTTGTGCGTGATTAGAAGGCAGCACTAAACCAAAACGCAACAAAATGACAACCAAAGCAAGGACCGACCCCCCCCCCCACACACACACACACACACACTTCATTTGAGCAGCGGTGTGTCTGAACTTTGCCCGTAATGTAAATTTTGGCAAAAAATCATGCATCATCATCCTCGTGCACAAAGTAGAGGGGGGGGGGTAAATAGAGAAAGTCATAGGGTGGGGCACTCGTAGGTTAACATCTTTACACCGTGTTTCTACAGAGCAGATAAGGTTAAATCAAACAAAATGACCATCCGTCATCTAAAACTGATGGGTTTCATTTTGTTATGTACAGTGGACGATGAGTTTGAGAGCGTCTCCTCTCAGCTCCTGAAGAGAACGCAAGCCATGCTTGATAAATATCGATACCTGCTTTTTTCTGAGTCTAAGGTGAGTCCCTGAATGAGAATCAATGTTGTGTTCATGTCTCCCTTGATTCCCGAACCCACCCCCCACACCTGAAAACTGAACTGACATTTGAATTGCAGCAGAGACTTGGCCCCTCGGCAGAGATGGTGATGATTGACCGCATGTTCATTCAGGAGGAAAAACTTGCGCTAAGCCAGGACAGGATTTTGGCCAAGGAAAGACCAGGTAGGCTGTGCCCATGAGCATCCCATTTTTTTAACATGTGATGGAACCCAACATGACCAGGAAAAAATTGCCACGTTGAGTTTAGGTCAAGGGCAGCCCGGTGGTCGAGTGGTTAGCATGTCGGCCGCACAGCACAGAAATACAGGGTTCGATTCCAGCTCCGGCCTCCCTGTGTGGAGTTTGCATGTTCTTCCTGTGCCTGTGTGGGTTTTCTGCGGGTGCTCCGGTCTCCTCCCACATTCCAAAAACATGCACGATAGGCAAATGGAACACTCTAAATTGTCCCTTGGTGCGATTTTGAGCGCAAATGCTTGTTCGTCTGTGTGCCCTGCGATTGGCTGGCAACCAGTTCAGGGTGTACCCGCCTATTGCCCGAAGACAGCTGGGATAGGCTCCAGTGTGCCCTGCGACCCTTGTGAGGATAAGTAGATTCGAAAATGCATGATGTATGGATGGTTTAAGTCCTTCATTTATTTGTCTGGTATCACAGCAAACTTTAAATCCAAAAGTAGTGATGCTTTGTACCATATATACTCGTTAATTTCTGTTTGCAGTCCCTGTGGCAATTCGCCAACTTTGTCGTTAATTTCTGTTTGCAGTCCCTGTGGCAATTCGGAAAGAAATGTCAAAAACTCACACTGAAATGTAAACCGAACAACATTTACTATGCGATGTTCAATGTGTTTATTTATTTATGTTGATCTCTCTCTCTCTCTCTCTCTCTCTCTCTCTCTCTCTCTTTCTCTCCTTTCCACTCCTTCGTCATTTCTCTCTCTCTCTCTATATGTATATAATTTTAAAGAGTGTGTGCTGAGTGATATTATTAAAACACGTGACAGGCGGGTCCCACTGTACTTGTACTTGTGTTGACTGAAGGTGATTGTCTGTGATTGCAGAGGAGTTTGTGGCCAACGCTCGCCTGTTGGAGAGTTTAGCTTCGTCCCAACAGAAGTCCCCTCCGGCCGAGCCTGCCTCGAACACAGCCGGTGTAGCTGTGGCCCCAGCTGCCTCCGCCGTGGCCCCTCCGCCATCAGAGCCCTCACCTCTCACTCCGGCCATACCTTCGCACGTCCCACCGAAACCCCCGACTGCTCCCAGCCCATCTCCAGCGCCACCACCCGCTCCTGCGGCCACCCCTCCTTGCGGCTCTTTCCCCCCAACAAAACTAGTCATAAAGCAGGGTGGCGGTGGGGCCTCAGTGTCGTGGTCCAGTAGCTGCCCGCCTCCTCCTGGTGGTTCCGAACCGACCGGCCAGACCCCCTCCTCATCACGCACGCCAGCATCATCATTGTTCTTCTCATCCTCTTCCTCCTCCAACTCTAAAATGGATGACGATGACGATGATGCGCTCCCGCAGAGGACCAGCAAGCCGCCCATCAAAACCTACGAGGCTCGGAGGAGGATCGGCTTGAAGCTGAAGATCAAGCAGGACCAAACGGGCTTCGGTAAGGTGGTCCACAACACAGCCTTAGACCCTGTGCACACCTCTCAGCCCAACACCTCCAAATCGCAACCCTCGTCCACTCCTACGTCCACCGGCGTCATCCGAACCCAGTCGCCCGTGTCGGTCACCATAACGACCACTCAATCCAACCCCTGTCAGAGTTCGTCCTCAACGCAAATAAACGGCACCCTGGAGCACCACAACACTGCCTCCGCAACCCCCGCCCCCTCGCAGACTACCTGCCGCCTCCCCCTCAGAAAGACTTACCGGGAGAATGTCAGTCCCCGGGTGCGGCCGGGCGTCCTGGGGGGCGGCGGGGACGACGACTCGGCGCCATACCCCACCCCCGCGCACGAAAGGACGGTCATAGCCAGCGTGAAAGTGGAGAAACGAGGCCGAGACCCCAGCTCTGGCTTGGACGACGTTTTCAACCACGCCGTCAAGGGGGTCAAGGGGAGCGGGGAGGATCGCTCGGAGCAGGACGCCGACTTCCCTAAATTCAAGCGGACGAGCGGGAAAATGAAACAGAGGCAAGCAGGGACTTTTAGGATGGACCAGCACGCGCCGGGGCCCCCTTCACCAGAGTTCCCTTCGTTTCCCGCCAAACGCTGCAAATCAGATTCGCCTGACATGGACAACGCGAGCTTCTCCAGCGGAAGCCCCCCCGACGACTCCCTCAACGAGCATTTGCAATGCGCCATTGACAGCATCCTCAACCTACAGCAGGAGCCCACTCTACGGGGGCACCACCACCACAAGGGGGCCCATGACCGGACAAATTCACGCTCGATCCCCCCGCACAGACCCTCGGGTCCCCCGTCATCTTCCTCCGCCTCGTCCACCCTGGCCCAGCACCCTCAGGTCGGTGGCCGCGGCCACAACGGCAACCTGGTGCCGCAGACTCAGAGCAGATAACGCCCCCCCGCCCCCCGCATGGACTGACCGGGGGAGGGGGGCGCCCATGAGAATAGAGAGGGAGTCCTGACAACTGCCAAGTTTGTCCACGGAATTCTCTCGTCATGTTTTTGTTGTCTTGTCCTATCCGGGCTTCTCCTTATGTTGTCACGTGATCATGGCCCCCACCTTCCTTCTTGCCCCCCACCCCACCACCACCACAATGGTGTTTCCAGGATAGTGTTTCCCAATATTCACTGAGCCAAGGCACATATTTTATGAGAAAAACTCTCATGGCACAAGAACAAACTGGAAATGTCACACAGAGTGTAGTTTATATCTATCTCTATATATCTATACATAGATATAGATATAGATACATATAGAGAGAGAGAAAGAGAAGGGGAGGTAGCTAGCTAGCCCGTACTTACAAGCAAAATTCACACCACGATTGATCCATGAAAATTCCCACAGGTCTCCATTCGTCTGCCTTTCTATGACTCTTCCATTGTCTAAACAACAATAACAATGATTGAATTAAAACTGGTATTCAAGCGGTCCTCTTCATCATGCAGTTCCGTTTGACACCTTGCAATTGAGTAACAGTTACCTTGAGCTTGGAGTGTCAGCAGCAATTTGCAACCGAGCGACTGAAAGAGTCCCAAAAAGGCATACAAGTGGACACCATTGGAAAATTTTATAAAAGGTATTTCATCCATGAAAACGTTCATTCTGCTCCTTGTTGGCGCAAGTTGTGCTGAAACATTGAACAGTTAGTCATATGCATTCAACATTTACATAAAGGTCAAACTAAGCGCATTTAGCTTTATTTTGAAATTTCACCCAATGTCCCGAATGTTTTGTGAAGAGCGTAGCTTACATTTGAAAACCAGTGAAATTTCACCCAATGTGTCCCGAATTGTTTTGTGAAGAGCGTAGCTTACATTTGAAAACCAGTCCTAAATAATGTGGCGCACAAATGCATCAGATTGGGTGACAAGGACATAGCACAAGCCGTATGGTGACAAATTTCTATTTAAAAAAAAAAATCAAGCATCCTTGGTTTTCAACATTGTTTGATTTCCAAGCTCACGAGACTTTGGTTGATTTCAGTCAGCAGGGGGCAGGCCAGGATCATCCCCAAACCTTCACCTCCGTCCCCTCTTTCCTTCCTGTGTCTTTTTGTTTTGATTTGTTGTTGTTTTTTTAATGTCTGCCCCATGGACAAGTCCAACTGAAACGCAGCACAAGGTTACGCAAAGAGCGGGGCGGCGGAGAGAAACAAAAAAGGAACAATAATAATGTACAAAAAAGACGGCAAGAGAATTTGAAGTATAGTATTACAGATTAATTTTGTATTGTATTTATTGTGTATAAGGATACTTTTTAAAAAGAAATGTACATTTAGTCAACTGTAAATTAAACCTTGCTTCTTTTATGAATCCCGTCTTCATTTTTGGGGATATTAAATGTTTGAGCGTCATTCGTTCTCATCAACATCATCAGTTCAAGACGGTTATGAGTGTTGGAACAAATCTTTTCCCCATGGAAAATAATGGAAATCTAGATCAGGAATTTCAGGGTCAAACTAAATCCCTATTTCCTGTACATGCGATGTTATTGTATTTTAAGGAACATTAAAACATTTGAGCATAAAAATACGTCAACTTCTAATATCCATCCATCCATTTCGTAATCCTCATGAGAGTCGCGGGCGTGCTGGAGCCCATCACAAACGTACAACAGTTCGCACTCACAACTAGGGACAATTTAGAATGTTCTATTAACCTGCCAAGCATGGTTTTGGAATGCGGGAGGAAACCGCAGTACCCGGAGAAAAACCCACGCGGGCACAGGGAAAACATGCAAACTCCACACAGGACGGCCGGAGCCGGAATTGAACTCTGCACTGTGAGGTGGATATGCTAACCTGTCGCCCACCTTCTACTGCTAAGAGAAAAACAATAAACAGTGTAGCTTTGGTGCAATTTTCTGCAAAGGAAAGCAGTACAGTTTTCCATGTTTTTTTCATGTGGTAAAAAAGTGTCTTTTTAAAGAATATCTTTGGGAGGAATCTTTCATCACCCGCAGCGGCTCCTCTTGTTGTGAGAGGGAAGAAATGTCATCTGTGCTGTATGTTGCACATACAGCACATTTGACAAAGTTGTACTTGATACTTGATTTGGAGTATAATTTAAAAAAATACATTGAAATAGAATAATAGGAATAAAGTTTGACTCTTGAGAAAATAAATGTTTGGAGATTAAAAAAGTTATATTTAAAGGGAAAAAAAATCAATGCATTTGAATACTGTTTAAACAGGTTTCCCACTGTTCAGTGTAAAAAAGGTTTCACTCTTGAGAAAGGTTGTATTTTGGTGGGTGAAAATCATATTTAAAGAAATGACGTTTGAATTGCATTTTAACAGAGCACCCATACAAGTGCAAAAATAAGTTAACCAATGTTAATCGGACAAAAAAAAAACAATCTGCAAAGTCTAGGTTTCAAAAGTTCAAGGGTCAAGTTTTTGCCATCCTATGAATATTAAATACATATCTCAGTCAGATGTATTTATTTTTATAAAGCAATTCAGATAATGCAATGATGGAAAGTGGTGTCTACAAAGGTTGGACGACTGTATCCCAAGTAGCAGATGTCATGTGAAATCCTCGTGTGTCATTTCATAAAAAGATAAAAAGGCCTCCCCGCCCAAATGCTTTATTCGTGGTCCCCTCCCTCCCTGTCCTTCCTCCTCTGGAGTGTTTTGTGCTGCCCACAGCGTTGCCAGGCATCGGCGCTTACTTGCTCTAAATGAGAGGAGGAGGAGGAGGAGGAGCATCCAAGTAGGAGTGAGGAAGAGGGCTGGGTCGGAAAAAAAAAAAAAGCTGAGAACGACATCAAACCTTGCAGAAGAAGCAACAAAAAGACCCAACCTTTTACCTCCACCTTCAGCCCTTTTTTTTAAAATTCAACCAGAGGTACACCCACACATGTAAGTACTTTGCTCTCTTGTTGTATATTTGCACCTACTTTGATTTCCTTATTGTGTTTTGTTTTCCTGTAAATGTGTGTTGAAAACTTCCAAAGTCAGATGACACACACAATTGGGGGGTGAAAAGTGACTTTGTCAAACTTTCTTCGAGCCTTCATATGTGGCAGCGAAGAAAGGATTGCGTTTACCTGAAATGTAAACTGATCAGGTAACTTCAAGCCCTTCTTCGCTGTCGTATTCAACCAAATGATGTTTCTTTGCGGATTTAGGCTTGTGATAATTTAATGGTGGGAGTCGGGCTCCCTCTGATGGTATGCAAAAGAATTTCTGAATGAAACGGAGAACGTTAACAGTGGATTAGATTTTGTTTTTCTTAACCCTGTGCAGTACATTTGTTCATTTGTACATTTAACTTACTATCGTAACGTTTGTTTTTCTCGACTCAAGGACGGTGTTAACGTTGACAGTTGCAGCATGTTACAGTGGCTTCAACTGAATTTAATCTAGTTCAGTACAGTTTGGTTGGATTCAGCCATTCGATTCAATACCACTGTAGTTTTTCCCCCCTATGTTTAAGTGCAGAGGTCATGTTAAAAATTGTATTTACCGGGAATGTTTTGGTGAATTCAGCTTTTTTTTTATTTAATCCAGTACAATATATTGGTGAAGTACAGTTCAGTTGAATCCCATATGCATGTGAACTGCCTTTCGCTGCACTTATTTATAGTGGAAAAGCTGTCTTTTCTCCCCGCCATCCTCCTTCAATGCCACTAGCGAATTCCCCTGCCTTAAAATATTCCCACAAGTCTCCTGTTATTGCTTTCCCCATTTCAACACCAACGTTATTTCTCTGCACGGATCTTGTGACATGTCCGCATTGTGCTGTTTTTTTCCCTCTACCCCACGAATGACTCCAAAAATGGACAAGTCAGCCGCCACTACTCCACTTAAATGAACTGTGCCTTTCAGTCAAAATGAGGATTCCCAAATGGAACATTTTTTTTTCCTTTTCCCCCCTCCACTACGTGAACACTGTGCACGCTGTGAGGCAAAAAAGCAGAAGGGGATGAAAAGGAATGTCTTACTCACTTTTACACTGAAGTCATGAACTGCGGCCTGAGCATGGGCTGGGTTTGAAACTGTTCCAGCTTGGAGCACCAGCTTTTTCCAGGCATGCACTGACAATGTTAGGCAACCTCCTGGAGGGCTCCACAAAAAAAAAAAAAAAAAATTCCACATCTGCACTCGAAGTGCAGCACTCCTTAATAAGCAGCTGTCTGCCTCAGGCGGAAACAAACAGGGATGGTCTTTACGGATTGCAGCTATGTCCAAGTTTTTTGTTTTTTTACATTTAGGGACACATACACTATCTAATGGATGGTAGAAAGGGTGGTGGTAGGGTGGTCAGCCGGAGGAAAGGGGGGTGGGGGTAGTTAAGGGTGCGTCTCACATTGGCTTATTGAAACATGCTAAATCCAATTCAATACACTGAAAGTTTAAAGTAAAGAAAATCTCTGCTTGGTGTTACTGTGATCAGTGACATTCAAAGGGGGTGGGTGGGGGGGTCTGGAGAGGGCTGTTATATATTGCACACTCCTGCCGTATTGGGAATAACATCTCACGATTTGCTCTTCCTCTTCCTATTGTAGATTATTCCCGAACTTCAAACGTGATCTTTTTCGGTGTGAGGTTTCAAGGACGACGGCACAACTTTCACACACAAATAGAGGAAGCATCTGAAGCTTTTTATTTTTTTTTTTGTCCTTAAGAGGAATAACAGCCCTTGCGCATCCAAGAAGCTCCCTGTGTCACTCTGTGAGTGCGTCCACTTGTCATGCAAGTGTAAAAAGAAGTCAACTGCTGCTACAAGTAAAACAGGAATGAAAAACAACCGAGCTGCTGGGTCAATTTTGATGTACAAAAATGTTACTAACTACGGACACGTTTTAACACAAACAAATTATTAAAAAGGTCTTTTGTACAGGAATAAAGTGCCATTTTTTGAGAGAAAAAAGTTTACATATTTCACTAGTATAGTAAAAGAATAAATGCATCGTTTACAGAAAAAAAAGGCATCCTACATGAGTAGTTAAAACGTGACTTTCTTCAGGTATAAAATAGTGATAACTTGCAACAACCTTTTCATTGACAATTTTAAAGAAAAAGGCATTATTTCTTTTATTTTTTTTTAATAATCTTTAAAAATTAAAAACGTTAAGGTGTAAAATTTAAATCCAGCACCATTTTTCATTTAACTTAATTATGTATTAAAAAAATAAAAACAGTCAAACCTTTTTCTTTTGATTTATTCTTTTTCCTTTTTATGCTTCCCGTCTGACATTTTTTAAAATAAATTTAAAAATACTCAAATCGAAGCTAAACGTGATCCTTCCAATGTGATTGAGTGTCTTGTGCCTCTTTTTTTTTTTTGCTGCTCAAGATCCTGTCGAGATGTCGCGCTGGGGGCGTAAGAACGTGAAGAAGGCGCCGGAGGTGATCCGCACGGTGACCGAAGGTCTGAAGTCGCTGTACCGCAAAAAACTGCTGCCGCTGGAGCAGTACTACGGCTTCCACGACTTCCACTCGCTCAGCCTGGAGGATGCTGACTTCGACAACAAGCCCATGGTCCTGGTGGTGGGCCAGTATTCCACCGGGAAGACCACCTTCATCAAGTAAGTCACTCCCGGCTCCCCCTCCTCCGACCCCCGCACAGACAGAAAAGGATCCAGTATCTCTTCACTAGGCAAAATATCCTTATTTATTGACTCCAAATAATGTTTCTTCCTTCATTTATCTGTGCCAGTGACATGTCGTGACAGGCAGAACAATTAAATGCTTTTGCACTCGATGGCAATTAAACCAGGAGAGACCACATTAGATTTTTGAATTACAGTGGATATTCACGGTTCAGAAGCATTTTCACCTCGTCATTCTTTTTTTTTTCAAGATTTTTTGGGGAAATTGTATTTATTTTTTAATTAATTTATTTATTGTAAGCTAAACCCGTTTTTTCACCTAAAACGCTTATTGACAGCTTAGCCCTGCGTATACATGAAAAATCCAAACATATTTTTGTTTTTAAAAAATAACAATAATGATTTTTTTTAAATTCTAATCATAAAAATAACTTTTTTGGGGTGTCTTAATGTTTACAACAATGACGATATGAATTACAGGCAGAACATCTTACAGTTTTAAAATACTTGGACTTTAATATTTTTTTCAGCGTCGCAACAGAGAAAAAAAATCATACATAGATTGGCTGGCAACCGTTTCAGGGTGTCCCCCGCCTACTGCCCGAAGTCAGCTGGGATAGGCTCCAGCACCCGCTGCGACTCTTGTGAGGATTAAGCGGATCAGAAAATGGATGGATGGATGGATGGAGATATATATATCTATATAGATAGATAAAACAAATTAATCTGCAAAAATCATCCCCCCCAAAAAAAAATAAAAAATTAAAATGACCCAATTTCTTTTTTGCAGATTTCTGCCTATACTAAAAGAGCTAATATCTGCCAATTAAATTCGCCAGCGGTCGAATCAGTTGGGTTTTAATTTTAAATTATATTTTGAGAATCACTTTTTCCATTTTGTCCCAAGGCAGTTCTTGCATTCTGTAGTTTTGGTGATATTTTGACTGTAAGTTATGTGCTTTGGCTCAAAAAAGGTTTGTCAACCACTGAAGTGAGGCAGTACCTTGGAGGTGGGACATAACTCCGATGTGATTGACAGATACTTGCTGGAGCAGGAGATTCCCGGCAGCCGCGTAGGACCCGAACCCACCACCGACTGCTTCACTGCCATCATGCACGGCGAAGTGGAGAACGTCATTCCCGGGAACGCCCTCATCGTGGATCCCAACAAACCCTTCCGGAAGCTCAACCCCTTTGGGAACACCTTCCTCAACAGGTGAGTGAAAAATGAAATGTTTACAAGTGGAAATGTTGTGAAGCCTTTGGAATTTTTCAAAATGTGTCCGCCAAATTTCCACCCCCTTACCTTATTTGCGGAAAAGAGGAGAAAGGGAACGTTATCAAGAGGGTGGGTGATGAAAGAGTGGAGGGGAAGTGTAAATGGATGGAGGCAAGGCAATTTCATTTGTATAAAACCTTTCCCCATGACCTCATACGTACTTCCGGGTGGCAAAAGCTGAAGCAATTCATGAATAAACAAACCCTTACATGTCATCTGACCCAGGCCGAGCCAATGACAACAAGGTGAATTTTTGTGAAACCTATTACTGGAAAACGTGAAACTTTCATCAAACACATTATCTTTCATGAAAAGTGATAACCTATCACATTAAAATATGTAATTGACATGAAACGTAATCACTTTTGTGAAAGTGATAATTTATCACTTTAAAATGTGCATCATGTCATGTTAAAGCCTGAAATTGATCACATTGATAATGTGATATCAAACTTTTTTCTGGTGTTGAAGCAATACACCTCCATACTAAAACAACCAAGCACTTCAATGAAATGTAAATGAAGGCAATTTACCTCGCAGATGAGCCTCACTCATCTTTTGTTTTTTTTTTCAAGTGTAAAAATAAGACTTTCTGTGTCTTTTTTGGACTTCAGATGAGAGGCAGAGGTCAGGAGAGAAGTAGGGAGTGAGGTGGGGTGTTAAGACAAACCAAGTGACGAACTTGTGAGTCTTCGAGAACCCCAGACAGAATTCCTCCTGTTTGTTTTTTTTTTCACCACTAACGTCACAGGAAGGCAAGCGAAGAAATCCTGGGACTCCCACTTTAGTGTTTGTCTTTGACTTCCTGTCTTTGGGAGGAAAGCGGCACGCTTGTTAATCTTAAACGCTCACCATGATACAAACTAAAAGTTTTTATTTAATTCATTCAAAGGCACAGGCAATTTTTTTCAGGACTCAATTGACATCCTTTGTATAGCGCTTGACCTCTTTAGCGTTGACATGGAGGCCAATCCCTGTTGACATTTAGGGGCAGAGGTGGGTGGGGTTCATCCTTAGCCAGTCACCAGCCAATCGCTGGGCACATGTGAAAAACAGCATCACACTCTCATGCCTATAAAGAACGTAGAGCCGTCGTCCACAAACTTTTTGGTTCAAACAATATTGAGATAATCACACACTAAAGACAAACACGAGCCAAATAGATTTGCTTCACATTCCGTTCACAAACTGTTTGGTTCAAACAATATTGAGATAATCACACAACTGAAGACAAACACGAGCCAAATAGATTTGCTTCACATTTTCGTTTTTAACATTCTTGTTTACATTCTTACAAGTATAAAAAAAAGAAACAGTTGAAAGTGAAGAACATTGCCTTGCAGATGAGCCTCGTGCAACTAATCTTATAAAGACACTTAAACCATATTTTTTCAAATATAAAATGAAATTAGCCACTGTTAATTTCGGGAAGCCCCCCCAAAAAAATTCACGCACTCGGGTCAAATGCAAACGGAGATATTTACTTCCGAGATACTCAACATCTCATTATTTTAGCATTCTTCCCTACATTCTTACACATGTAAAAATAGCCACCGTTAAGAATGAAAGATGAAAACAATCACACACTCGTGTCAAACACAAATGAAGACTTGCTACGTAGATGAGCCTCACATATCTTTTTTTTCTAAACTACTTCCTAACAGATATAAAATGAAGTTAACCATTGTTAATATTGAGAAGCAAAACCAATCACACAATTGATTTAAATGCAACCAAAAATAATTCACTTCCTAGATGTCTCACACATCTCATTACTATCAATGTTCGCAATTATATTCTTGATGTTTTTACGTGTAAAAAAATGTGATGACTGTTATTAAGTTGTCAAAATAATAACGCACTCGAGTCAAACGCAAGCAAAGACAATTTCCTTTTTTTCTACATTTAAAAAGTGTAAATATGAGCTAGGCGGTGTTAACATTAAGACGTAAAAACAAGCAGTGACGATTCTCTGTTGGAGAAATCCCGGGACTCCTGCCTTGGCATTGCCCTTTGTTTCTCTTCTCATCCGGGCGAGGAGGGTCGGGAAACGGGGCGCTCGTTTAGCTGGCGGGCCACAGGAAGTGCTGTTGTTGTTGTTCCAGAGGCGCGACATCATTAGCAAGTCTTATTGTTTGATTCTGGCAGCTGGGACGGCGTTTTTCCATTCAGGAAGTGGGAAGCCATGAGCGCTCCCTGACACAATGGAGCAAGGCGTTTTTCCATTCGAGTCCGAACCCGCCGTGGTTTGAGTTCAGGCGGGGTTGGCCACATCTCAATTTCCAAACGGACACATGGGTCGGCACATTCATGGAGTAAAAAAAATGTTATGATAATACAGTAATAAAAAAGTTCAAATGTGTTTGAGGGCAGCGCAGCTCTCCAATTCGATACCCATCGCAATAGATGGGTTGCGATATGATGATTCAAGGACGGTTGGATTTTAGAGCGGATTGACTCGACTCCGTTGCGATTCGGTGGGGTACCATTCGATTTGGTGCATTTCATATCGAGAAGGGTATGGTGCAATGACTGTTGTCATTTTACAAACTACAATATGAATGAACTCAGTATTGTAAATGTGGCATTCCCTGCTGACGTAACTCATAAGGCTCATAAGATGTATTTAGCCCCTCAGTTGTGTCTGATGTGCGTTCATCTTGTGTTGCAGGTTCCAGTGCGCCCAGATGTCCAATCAGGTGCTAGAGAGCATCAGCATCATTGACACGCCCGGAATCCTCTCAGGAGCCAAGCAGAGAGTGAGCCGAGGTAAGAAATATGACAAAGGAAATGAAGGATCACAATACTAATTACCCATGGATTTGTATGTTTTAAACTGGGGATAGGGTTTCAAACTAGGGTTGTTAATTCTGTTAAATTCCGCTCTATTGAAGTGGTTATGAATATTTTTTTTTTCAATAAAAAGTCATCAATTCCCAGAACAAATGCTTACTTGCGACACCTCAGTGGAAAAAAAAAATCGCATCTAATCTGTTGAGAAACGAGTGCAAAATATCTCATGTCTAGCGACTAAGACCGATTGCTACACAGGTAGGCATTCTTCCAAAAAAATGACATCATGTTGTTATTTCCACATAGTGTAGAGGTACTTCGCTCCAAGTAAGTGACTGTATGCCTGCACTTCCCATGACAGCAATGTTCCATCTGGCGGCATTTTAAAAAATGGTTTTCATCAACAGCATTACATAATTACTGTACTTTGGTTCTTTGTCAATCAGATTTATTATCATCATACTTCCTTCATTTTTCCGATCCGCTTATCCTCACAAGGGTCGCGGTGGGTGCTGGAGCCCATCCCAGTCGTCTTCGGGCAGTAGGCGGGGGACACCCTGAACCGGTTGCCAGCCACTCACAGGGCACCCAGAGACAAACAACCATCCGCGCTCACACTCACACCTTGGGACAATTTTGAGAGTTCAATCAGCCTGCCATACATGTTTTTGGAATGTGGGAGGAAACCAAAGTACCTGGAGAAAACCCACGCAGGCCCGGGGAGAACATGCAAACTCCACACAGGGAGGCCGGAGCTGGAATTGAACCCGGTACCTCTGCACTGTGAGGCGCTAACCACTGGACCACCGGGCCGCCCCTATCATCATACCGTACATTATAAATGTTATGTGTGTGTATATCCACATATACGGTATATTTCATATACAGTGGATTTTTGACTTCTATAGCTGTCAATGGCTTATTCACTGCAGCTGAATAAAAATGGATCTTTGACATCTATAGCCGTCATTGGCAGTGAATGAGTTTTAATCAACACGACCAAAGCTACAGCCGTACTCCATTGACTCAAATTGCAATCCTACCGAATCGTTCACTTGAAAATGTACAAAGTACCATTCTTGAATCTTATCGTACCCATTGTATCGAGATAAATATCTCATCGTCTTTTTACGGATAGATGCACAACCTTAATAAGCACGTTTAATAGGGCGTCAATTCTTTGCGTTTTTTTGTACATTTGTGGCAGGGCTCGGTCTTGTGTATTCCAGCTCTGATTGGCGAACCCATCCTTGCCCACAGGCTACGACTTTCCCGCCGTGCTGCGCTGGTTTGCCGAGCGCGTAGACCGCATCATCTTGCTCTTTGACGCCCACAAGCTGGAGATCTCGGATGAGTTCTCGGAGGCCATCGGCGCGCTGAAAGGCAACGAGGACAAGCTGCGGGTGGTCCTCAACAAGGCCGACATGGTGGGCACCCAGCAGCTCATGAGGGTCTACGGCGCCCTTATGTGGTCCCTGGGCAAGGTGTTCGGCACACCTGAGGTTCTGAGGGTCTACATCGGCTCCTTCTGGTCCGAGCCCCTCATGGTGTCAGACAACCGCAAGCTGTTTGAGCTGGAGGAGAAGGATCTGTTTGCCGACATCCAGAACCTTCCTCGTCACGCGGCTCTACGCAAGCTCAATGACCTGGTGAAGAGGGCACGCCTGGTCCGGGTGGGTCTTTGTTTTTTGGAGATTGACTGTATTGGAAGGAATTCAGGAGAACTTGGGTCCGCCTGACAAAAAAAACCAAAAAACTTTTTATCCCGACAAATATGGCTTTGGTCTTGTGAAGGTTTATTTTTACTTGGGTTTAGGTGGGATCAAACCCTGGTTTAAGAGATTCAAGACCAACTCAAAAAGGAATTCCACGTTGCTTGGAGGGGAAATAACTTTACGCCTACCGTGTTCAGGTGCACGCTCACATCATCAGCTACCTGAAGCAAGAGATGCCGTCGGTGTTCAGGAAGGACAACAAGAAGAAGAACCTCATCTACCAGTTGCCCGTCATCTTTTCAAAGATACAACTGCAGCACAACATCTCTGCCGGAGACTTCCCCGACTGCGCCAAGATGCAGGTCAGCTGAATTCACGGATGGCTAAATGGATGGATGGCTGGATGGATGGATCAATGAAGTGATAGACAGATGGAAGTTTGCAGATGCATGGAAGCATAAATGGATGGATGGATAAATGAATGGCAGATAATTGGCTCGATGAAAGGATGTATATCAAAGGGTAGACAGATGGATGGTTGGATATACAGTTGGAAGAACTAATAAATAGCCCCAACTGAGTCACATATTCAAACAATCCCGAATTAAAATTGTTTTCCTTCTTCAAGACATCCGGAAATTGCGTTGTGTAGTGATGATATGTACTGTATTTGGTCGTTTCTAAATTGTGGTTGTTAGGAGCAACTGATGGTCCACGACTTCACCAAGTTCAAAACCCTGAAGCCCAACCTGATGGCGGCCCTGGACGAGCTGCTGTCGGTGGACATCGCCAAGTTGATGCCACTTCTGCGCCAGGAGGAGCTGGAGGCCGGCGAGCAGCCCGGCGTGGAGGGAGGCGCTTTCCTGGGCACCCGCGCCGGACCCTTCGGCGAAGGTGACCCATTTACCAACGAGGACGACGAGGCTGACGATGGCTGTGAGGACGAGCCAGACAAGTGGGTGGTGACCAAGGACAAGCCCAAGTACGACGAGATCTTCTACAACCTGGCGCCCAACGAGGGCAAGCTGAGCGGCACCAAGGTCAAGCACTGGATGGTCAGCTCTCGTCTGCCCAACTCCGTGCTGGGCCGCATCTGGAAGCTGTCCGACGTGGACCGCGATGGCATGCTGGATGAGGAGGAGTTCGCCTTGGCCAGCCACCTGATCGAAGTCAAGCTGGAGGGCCACGGTCTGCCCCCGGAGTTGCCCAGCCGCCTGGTGCCACCCTCCAAGCGCAGGCAGAAAGGCTCTGACGTGTGTATCGACTGATGGGTGATGGATGCATGAATGCATGGATGGATGGATGGATGAATGAACTTATCAATAGATAAACCAATAGATGACATCTAGACGGATGGATACAGTATTCCCCAGCTACTCGTGCGGGACAGGGACAGTTCAGATCTGTTTCTTCAGGATATTTCCTTTATGCCAATTACTACCTGTGAGGCAATTAATGTTGGCTGAATGGTTGGATATAGAATGGATGAATTTATCAGTGGATAGGCCGATGGATGACAGCTCGACATATGGACGGATACAGTAATTTGTGTGGGATAGGGACAGTTGAAATGTCTTTGTAGTACATACTTTCCTCTTAGCTGGGCTATGGTGCCAACTTGTTGTGTCTTAGGCCATTATAGATACAGAACAAAAATGGGATATCGGAAAAAAACGCAGTGGGGTAAATTTGCAAATAGTCAGTGGGGATTACTGTAATGGTCTATATTAATAGTCTAATCTGTAAATATTCCACAAACTGAAAATGCAAAATCCTTTAACTCATTTATTGCCAGCGCCTTAAAATTTTATTTTTGACGTCTATAGCTATCAATGGCAGTCAAAGAGCTAATGTTCTACGCTCATCTTATAATACTGCCTATGTAAGTAGATGGTTTACGGATGATTTTATTTCAAAAAGGCCGATACGCAAATATCTTAAAAACTTGTCAGTACTTCACAGTACTTCCTTGATACCAATTACAATTTCCCATTTATCTGAGCTTTGGCACCATCTTGTGGCATCTCATAAAAATGTGTCAAAGACCACAAATTAGGGAGGATTTGAGAATAACTATAGCTAGTTTAAAAACAACGTGAGTAAGGGATTTTGCGAATACTGAATGAGTAAGGGATTTTGCAAATACTGAATCGCCATTATGCGGGTATTACTGTAATGGAGGAATTGATAGAGAAATATATGGACAGATGGGTAGAAGAATAGACAGATGGTGATGATAGACAAGAGATTGATGAATGAACAGACTCGTTTGATGCGCTCTTGTCTCTCGGTCCTCCGACAAATACATAATATTAATTTGAATTTTGTACAGCCGGCGCCGCGTCCCATAACAAGATGGTGGCACTACTAGCTTTAAATAACTCACTGGTCACAACATTAGGTACACCTGCACACTTCCAGAACTAGAGCCGCATTCAAAGTTTTATTTTTGTAAATGTTTTGCTGATGGGAAACCAGAAATATATTCATACTGCACTTCACTTGGAGCTGGATAACAAACCTATTGTTATACTTGCAAAGAACTGAGTTTGTATATGTTTTGCTGCATTCAAGATCACTGGGATTTTAGAAATCTCCTCCATGGAGCCTAACTAAAACCATAAGGACAGAAAAAAATTTGACCTTTGTCAAAGCCAAACTCTAAACAAAAAATGCACAGTGTATTTGAAGGTGTGTCGCTGCATTCAATGTTGCTGGAAATTAGAAAAATTTCCTTTGTGGCCAAACTGAACTACATTAATCGACCCATTGTTAAACTAGGAGAGTTCAATAAAGCACAGGCATCTGCTTCAGCCATACTTCTTACAAAGTGAAAAGAAATGGACAAATATTTCTGGATGTTCAGTTGCATTCAAAACCACCTTGAAATCAGAAACATCCCATTTGAGGCTTCTCAGCGCCGCGTCCCATAACAAGATGGCGGCAATACTAGCTTTAAATAACTCACTGGTCACAACGTTAGGTACACCTGCACACTTCCAGAACTAGAGCCGCATTCAAAGTTTTATTTTTGTAAATGTTTTGCTGATGGGAAACCAGAAATATATTCATACTGCACTTCACTTGGAGCTGGATAACAAACCTATTGTTATACTTGCAAAGAACTGAGTTTGTATATGTTTTGCTGCATTCAAGATCACTGGGATTTTAGAAATCTCCTCCATGGAGCCTAACTAAAACCATAAGGACAGAAAAAAATTTGACCTTTGTCAAAGCCAAACTCTAAACAAAAAATGCACAGTGTATTTGAAGGTGTGTCGCTGCATTCAATGTTGCTGGAAATTAGAAAAATTTCCTTTGTGGCCAAACTGAACTACATTAATCGACCCATTGTTAAACTAGGAGAGTTCAATAAAGCACAGGCATCTGCTTCAGCCATACTTCTGACAAATATTTCTAGATCTTCAGCTGCATTCAAAACTACCTTGAAATCAGAAACATCCCATTTGAGGCTTCTCAGGTCCTACCTCATACGTTCCAGTTAAACATAAACAAAAATCAGGGCTGATGTTTGCGATATGTTAATATTTGTTTTGTTTGTGAATAACCATTTTGAGCATTTTGCTGTGCTGCATTCAATGCTGCTGGGGAATCAGCATGAATTGAATGTCAGCATTTTTTTTAGGGTTTGACCAACAGTCTTTTTTTTTTTTTTTAAACCAATAACCAATTAATCGAGTGATTATTTTTTAAAAATAGATATGTAATGAATATAAACTTCTCTTTTGGTCCCTTAACACTCACATCAATAAAGATATGGTTTAAAGACTTAAAGACAGAAAATGTGACTGTCATATGTTACTTTGTGCTTTCGTATTCAACATCATATACTTTTTTGGAGAGGCGGGGTATTTTGATTTCATTATCTTTGTCTTATGTTGTCATGCTACATGAGTAAAAAAGAACAATTGGCAAAAATCGGACGATTTTTTTCCCCCCCAATTTTAAAAGAGCGAATATCGGCTGATTAAATCGGCCAGCCGAGAGCATATAATAACCAATTAATCGAGTGATTATTTTTTAAAAATAGATATGTAATGAATATAAACTTCTCTTTTGGTCCCATAACACTCACATCAATAAAGATATGGTTTAAAGACAGAAAATGTGACTGTTACTTTGTGCTTTCGTATTCAACATCATATACTTTTTTGGAGAGGCGGGGCATTTTGATTTCATTATCTTTGTCTTATGTTGTCATGCTACCTGAGTAAAAAAGAACAATTGGCAAAAATCGGACGATTTTTTTCCCCCCCAATTTTAAAAGAGCGAATATCGGCTGATTAAATCGGCCAGCCGATTATCGCTAGGGCTGTCCTCACGATATTGATATTTGATCCAGTTGCGCGGATACAACATCACACATTTGTTTCCCGCCGGAGCCTCAATTTTGATGGTGGTGACGAACCCGAGGACACCACGAGGATTTTCGGTTTCTGAAACAAGACGGCAACCGGTGGCTAAAGTGCAAAAGTGCCTGGTTCATCCTGGAAGGATGTCATTGACACGTCAGGAGAGTTGGGGCTGCGCCATTTTGATTTTTGAGGTGGACTGTGCCATATGACACCAAAGTGACTGAAATGGTGCAAACAGACTCCTTGATGTGATAACCACTTTTCCTTGCCGAGGGTCAGAAATGTCCATGTTGCCAGTTTTCCTGAAAGCAGCATTTGTTTGTTAGTTCTGCGTTATTTCCTGGTCTTTCATTGGTTCGGATTAGACAGTGCAGGTGTACTTAATGAAGTGGTTAAATAAAATGTATTTATCATAACTCCTCAGTGTGATGTATTATAGCCATTTGCCGTGCACGCCGCTTCCTTAGCTCACCCGTTGTGTATGTCGCCACTCTCATTCGCATCATTAAGCATATATTTTGCCACGAAAACACATTTGCGGCTCGATGCGCACCTTGTTTTTTTTTTTTTTTTGGATGTGTGTCATTGCTAACATGACTGTAATAAAGCGTACACAGAGACCCAAAATTACTACTACTACTGTGCACAGTGCCACCGCCTGGCCTCATGTCGGCTATACAGCAATAAAGTTACTTGACTGTGTCTCGTGTCATCTTATCTGGACTTTGACAGTCCACAAGTGTATTTTGTTGATCAGAAAGTCGGCCATTTTGGTTTGAACTAGCCATTTTGGCTAATTTTTTAGAGCTCGTACTTTGATGAACTCTATAAGGGAATTTGGCCAAATGAGCCCAGATTGGAAGGAGGTATTCAAGATTCATCGGCGATGCTAAATTTTGAATCTTTTTTTGTCTATACTGCGTGAGAAAGAATTATGTCAGTTTTGGATGATAATAAACACCTTCGCCCAAAACTCACTCAATTGCGCAGGCTGGAAAGTTTGAAAAAAAATTGTCTCTGGCAACAGTTTCATGGAACAACACAAAATTGGGTTTACATGTCTGTCACCATGGAGTGCACAGTCCAAAGTCTCCGAATTGAAAAGGAAGTCCGCCATTCTGGGTCGAACCAACTATTTTGGCTAAATTTCCAGAGCTCGCTCTTTGACAAAGTCATGACCAGAGTGATGACTAATTGAAAAGAAGTCTTCAAGACTGATTGGCGGCGCGAAATCTCCTATCTTTTTACCCTACGCCAGATGTGCCCAAGTCTGGTTCTTGAGAGCCCCTATCCAGCCTGTTTTAGATGTGGCGCTCCTCCTACACACCTGATTCAAATGATCCGCTCATCAGCAAGCTCTGAAAAGCCTGAAAACGTTCCTGAGCATTTGAGTCAGGTCTAAAACTGGCGAGACAGGAACTCAAGAACTGGACTTGGTCACCCCTGGCCTACGCCGTTTCATCCCTGCACTGATACCGTAACATCACCATGTACAGTTAATGGCGGGATAATGCAATTTACTGACTTTACAAGATTTTCAATGGGAAAAAAATCCACTCCTTCATGCTCTATAGGTTTGTCTTCATTGGGTTAAGGGTGAGCTGGAGACTCTCACAGCTGACGTTTGGAGAGTGGCGGAATGCACCATGACCTGGTTGCCAGCCAATCACAGAGCATATATCATAACAATCATATTTCATCTTTGCACTGTTACCGTAACATCGCCATGTTCAGTTAATGGCGGGATAATGCAATTTACTGACTTCACAAGATTTCCAATGGGGGAAAAAAAAATCCACTCCTTCATGCTCTATAGGTTTGTCCTCATTAGGGTTAAGGGTGAGCTGGAGCCTCTCCCAGCTGACTTTTGGAAAGAGGCGGGATGCACCCTGACCTGGTTGCCAGCCAATCACAGAGCATATATCATAACAATCATTCATGCTCATATTCATACCAACAGACAATTTAGAGTCATTTTTGAGAGAAACGCTTTCGTTTTTGAAAGGCGTACATGGATTAACACAGCACACAAACTCCACACAAGAAAGCCCCAGCAGAGATCCGAACGCGGACCATCAAAGCTGTGAGGCAAACACGCTTCAAACTACTGTGTTGCTCTCCTGTGGGTTTTGCGTTGGAATTTACATCAACGTGTCAGTTGCACCGTGTGTCATGTTCTCTTGCAGGCCGTCCTGATAAACAGTCGCTCTGACTCACTCGGGCCGACCGGGCCAAGTATGCAGACCACTTTTTTCCAATCCCCCCTCCCCCACCCTTAAATCACAACATCAGCCGCACAAAGTGGAGTCTATCCACATCACTATTTGTGTACACTACGCTCCTTTAAGGAGCCGTGTGTGCTCGCATGTGCTTGCGCGCTCGTTTTTTTTTTTTTTTTTTTTTGCACGAAATGTTCAATTTTTCCCAGAGGAGGACATAATCATTCCACTCCTCCTCCGTGGAAAAGGGAGGCAAATGAGAAACAGGAGCAATCCTCCCGACTCAGTGAGTCGCTGGTTCGCTGCCTCTGAAGCTGACTCACATGTGAAGAATGTGAAGGGCCGAGCCGAGAGTTATTAATATCTCTTTTCCTAGCCTCTGTTCAGTTTCCCCCTCAGGATTGGTGCGCTGTACCTTTAAGAGAAAAAAAAAATGACGTGCCTCGCGCCCCTCATTTGGGTCTGTGGCTTACAGTCCGGCTGATAACGTTTTGAGAGTTTGTAAGACCATGTCAGAAAAATC